CTAGATACAGTGTGTGCTAACACAGTGAGCGTTGAAACGCTGTGTGGAGGAGCACTTACTGTTGTCTTTGCTGGATTGCACCCTCGGGTGCGTCCTCGTCTCTTGGCCAGGTGCTGGCTCGGTCCCTGTCCCCTCCGTGCGGGTGCCAGGTTGGTGGGTGCCCGCCGGAGCCCCTCTGCCTGGCGCAGGGCTCCCGCTCGACACTCTCCAGCGCGAGAAACACTGGCAGGACCTCACCGTAACAAATTGCTTGGCTTTCTAGGTCAGCTCTGCCGGTTAGGGTGATACCAGGCACTGAAAGCTGGGGGGTTATTTCAGCTTTTACTCGGTCTGTTTTGCTCCAGAGCGACTTAAAATGCATTAGTGTCGCAAGGCGGGAGCTGCGCCGGAGCCGCTCAGCAGCTCAGTCGTGTCTTCCTGTCACTTGTCCCATTGTCTGGGGAAATTCTGTTAGCAAAGGCAGGCAGCTGACTTGATCATCATATTTTCCCCCTGATTTTTTTTTTTTTTTTTTTTTTTTTTTTTCTGGGGGCTGGGAATTGATTAGAAACACCATCTCCGAGGGCTGTGTCACTGCCAGGGCTGACGGTGGTGAATAGCGGGTGGGCGCCGTGCCCCGGCCCCTCGCTGCCCGGCGGGAAGGGGAGGTGGGCGCGGGAGCAGCCGCCGGCCCGGCAGCGGTGCCGGGGCTCTGGAGCTGCCGTGGCCACGGAGGAGAGCCCGGTCTGTGCTCTGCTCGGCAGCGCCCAGGTTTTTGGCCCGGCAGCACGGAGGTGGCCGCTTTAGCTGAGCCGGGAGGATGCTGCACGACACCTTCCCTCCCCAAAACACACCTCGGTGGGAGGCGAACGGGGTCGGGGCTGACCCCGGCGGGAGGCCCTGCAGCTAACCTTCCGAGGAGAAGCCGTGCCGGTGGTCTGAGATGAACCACCCCCGTGCCCCTCGCCCCCGGGAAGCCGCGGGGTGCCTGGGGCAGGAGCTCAGGGCGCAGCAGCATTTTGGCCGGGAGCGGGGACACGGGTGCGGGCTTGCCGGAGCTCCAGCAGCGCTGCAGCTGCAGGATGCCATCAAAAACTTCGATTGTGGTTTTTAAAATCTGACCAGCTCCCGCAGGAGCGATTGTGGCAGACTCCAGATACCCTGGGCAAGGTACTGGTGGCGTCTGGTTTTCCTGCGCTGCTCCAAAGTGGGCAGAGGCCACCCAGCAGCAATCCTTCCCCGGGCCAGGAGGCCTGGCAGCACGTCCTCAGCCGCCGAGGGCTCGGCCGCGCATCCTCAGCCCGGCTGAAATCCCTCCAGATGTGGCGGGGGCCCTTCCCCTGCATTGCTCCGGGGAAGCTGATGAAGAGGGGTGGGCATCGGGGGACCCATTTTTCGGCCGCTTTGCAGCCCCGGAGGTCGGGGCCGACATGCGGGGAAGCGTTTTGCAGCTGGTTTGACTTGTGTGCACGTTTGCGTGCACGTGTGTTTACGGATGCACATATGGTTTGTGTTTGTGGTATATGGAGGGAGCAGGGCAGGGACCCGCGCCCTTTATTGAAAGCAGTTATAAATGAACAAGGGCAATGAAAAAAAACCATAGATAAATCACTGGGAGTAAACACTCTCCAGTTTGGCTGCTTTTGCAGGAAGATAAATGTGGAAAGCCTGCGCTGTAAGGAGGCAGAGCCAGGTGCCACCCTCCCGCGCTGGCTCGCCGGGGTGAAGCCCCCCGCCCATCCGGGCAGCACCGGGGCTGGGGGCAGGTGAACGCCAGCACAGGCCAGCAGCAGCCAGGGCCCCCCGTGCCGCCCGTGGCCTTTGCACGCCCGTGTCTGAGGCTTTCCCCGGCTCCAGGGCACCCCGGGGTCTCCTGTCCCGAGCCGGGGGGCTCCCGCTGGCGGGGAAGCCCCGAGGCTCGCGTGGCTCGTGGGAGTCGTCCCCCCCGTCACCCAGCGGCTCCAGCAAAGCCAGTTCTGTGCAATGCTCCCGAGCGGCTCCGGGGGACCCTTCCCCTGCCAGCCCTGCTCGGGGCTCAAAGGCCGCCCTGCTCCCATCTCCCACCCGGTTAAAGCCGGGAGGCCACAGCGTTTCCCAGTGCAGACCAGGTTCCCGACCGGTGGGTGGGGTGGGGAGCTGCCACGGGGCGCAGGATGCGCGCCGGCCGGGTGCAGGCAGCATCGTGTTTGAGAAAGCACAAAGGACCAGGAGGAAGCCTAATATTTATAATTCCTAAAGTTGTCTTGAACGTCCAACCTTGATGCTGTCTTCAGACAGGAACAGAGGAATCCGTGTTTAGTTCAACTGCTTGTTTGATATTTGGAGAAAAAGGAAAATCGAGAAGTTGTTACTCATTGTGCACATAACTGAATAAAATACGAACACCAATGCTTGCACATCAGGGCCATGCTATTCAGCTCCTTCAGCTGGGTCCCAAATATATTTATTTTGCATCTGATCACCTGCAGGTGAACAAGGTGCAGCCGCTGAGCTGCTTTGTCAAAGCTGCCGGAGAGGGTTTGATCCCGGCGGGGCGTTGTGGGAGCTGTGTGGCCGCAGCCAGTGCCGGCTGGGCTGGTCGCCCACGGGACCGTGGCCGTGGGCAACTCCTCTGTGGGTCTGCTGGCCCCGGGCGAGTGGGCTTGCATCGCCCGGCCCGGCGCCTTCGCCCCGCTGAGCGCCGGTGACTTCTGCTCAAGGACATGGCCGTGTTTCCTTTTTATCTCTTTTTCTCACTTCCCAACTGCAGAGAAATCAACTATTCTGTACTTCAGGCCAGAAGGTGAATGTTTGGGAAAATTATGAGCATGTTATAATGCAATTAAAAAACAACCTCTGTAATTGCTGTAATTTATATATACCTACAAAATAACCAGCTGGTGTAATCAAAGCTTCCAGTATATTTTATTTGTTTCAGCAAATCGAACAGAAGGGAACGGTTCCATCTGCATTTTCACGTGCTGCAGGAGGGTTTGCAGCGCTCGGCGGCGCCTCGCTGGGGCTGGGTGAGGGTGCCTGGCGTTTGAGCCGTCGTTGCTGGGACAAAAGCGGGGCCGGGTGCTCCAGCACCGCCGCCGTGTCGGTGCACAGCCAGCCCCGGGCTGCTCGGGGGCAGGTGCTGTGCCTCTGTATGCATGGGGGAGGAGGGCCGCTGTCCCCTGGAAAACTCGGGTGGCTGCAGGCGTGCTTTGGACTCGTGTGCCTCAAGGAGTGTCGCTGGAGCTCGCCTCCCCCCGCTCCCCTCCCTGCCCTCCGCCAGCAGCCCTGGAACATTAAAGCAGATCGGCTGCAATTTCAAAGCTGCAACTTCAGTGCAGCCGAGTTGGTGAGGAGGAAGATAATTAGCAAGTTAAATGCTCAATGCCTTAGTCAAATTATGTTTAATAATATTGAGCTATAAGGAAAGAGTGTGGCAGGAACTGTTAGCAGCTGGCTTTTTCATTATCGATATCGCGTTGTTGTGCAAAGCGCTTTCCACTTAATGAAGGCACCCTGGGTTTTATTTCATTTTTCAAGCCTGTTTCTGCGTTCCGCTTCACCCGCCGTTGGCTAGCAATTTGCAGGATAGCAAACGAGCTCGGAGTATTTTAGGAGCCGGTGGTTTTTCAGGAATGAATGCTTTGCCTGTGCTTCATGACTATGATTCAAGTTCTCTTGGCTAACTAGCCCCCAAATTATCTGTGCGTGCAGAGAAAGGCCGTGTTTATGGGTCTGCTGGAGTCTTGATGAAAGCCTCGGACTGCAGTTTCTAGCTGAGGATGAATAAAACACTGCAGGGATCCTCTTCCAGCCCTGAAGTTTAAAATATTAATAGGATATCATTTTCCCGACAAGCGTTGCAACAGGTAGTGAGCACTTTGTTATAAAACATTTCCTCTTAGTGGAACGACATATTTTAATGGAAATGCAGTGTCACTTAAATTATTGATACCCAGAAAAACACGAGTCCACTGTGTGTCCACAGATATCGGAATCTTCTCAAACGGGCTCTTCCTCCGCGCTCCGCTGGGCCCCGTTCTGCTCCAGGAACGGTGCAGCCTGCGGGTGCCGAAGCTCCCCGGGGATCCCCGCGCCACTCGGGCTGTGATCCACTCCCACGGGCGAAAGCGGGGAGCTGGCAGGGGAAGCGCGGGCGGCTTGTGGTGGGGACCCCAACCTTCCCCGGGGGCCTTGGCTCTCCGGTACCAACGGAGGATGAGGAGGGAGAGCGGAGACGGCGAACGGCAGCGACTCCTGCAGAGCGGGCAGGCTGTCGGGGCAGAAAAGCGCTTCGTACCCATGGGAGGAGGCGGGCGTTTGGGCGGTGGTGGGCACCCTGGGTGGACCCGGGCTGCGTTTCGTCCCGGCCGCGGGTGCCCGCGCCGGGGGGAGCCGTCCCGGGGCTCGGCCTGGAGCCGCCGCGCCGCTCCCCCTGCCCGTGCCTGCCGTGCTCCGGCAGAGACATCTGCGCGGGAGAGCGGTCCCTCCCGGGCGGTTCCGCAGGCTCTGGTTCAGCTTCCTGACCACGTGCAAAACAAAGCCCGTGATGAAAACAGCCCTGCTGGCTTCTTTCCCGGTAGAAACGCGGGGAGCAGCACATTTAGCCTCTCCCACCTTGTCAGAGGGTTCAGCAGCAGCGAGTGGTTTGAGAACGTTTTTGAGGAACTTAGATCCTCCTGATGTTTTTCCAGATGCCTGTAAAGTTTTCCAGGGAACACAACCCACGCTGGCATCAAAAACCATCTCCAAGGGGCAGATGCCCACGCTGTGACCTCCCCAGGGCCACCGCGGCGCCGAGCTCGGTGGCTGCCCCGTCCTGGGCCGAGCGCTCGCACAACCCACCAGCGTGGGCAGGAGCTGACAAGAAACCCAAGAGCCTTTGCCCAAAGTTATTCAAGTTGTCGTGCCCTCGGGTCCAGTGTTGGGTGGTAAATGGTCTCGGTTGCTAGTGAGGGGCTGGGGACAGTCCTCTGGCTTTGCTGATCTTTTTTTTTTTTTTTTTTTTTTTTTCTCTTTCCCCTCTCCCATTTCTGGACTTGCAGCAAACCCTGGAGACGAATCTCACCAACCTGGTTAAACGCAACAGTGAACTGGAAAACCAGATGGCCAAGCTGATCCAGATCTGCCAGCAAGTGGAGGTTGGTGAGAGCAACTGGGGGAGCAGGGGGGTGATGGGGAGGGAGCACTGGGAAGCTCCTGGCTCGAGTGGCGGGATGCACGGGATGGCTCCAGTGTCCTTTTCCCAGGGGCTGCCCTGGGAACAGAGGGGAGGGTGTGGTGGGAAGCATCGCTGGCGCCGGGGGGCTGGTGGTGGGCTCAGTTGTGCCGGAGAGTTTAGTCCGAAATGATGTAGGATGCGGGGATGGTTCCCAGGGGTCTGTAGGATCTGAAGGAGATGGGGGCAAGACTGGGAGCCACCGGGAAGAGACGCAGGCAGCTGGGCTGGCTCGGGGAGGACCTGCTGGGGGGGGGCGGCGGGTGCTTAGGGTTGACGCCAGGGTGACACCGAGCACACAAACACAGCTCAGCTCTCGGGGAGGGGGGAAGCGGGGTGACCCCTCTCGTAGCTGCCTCCGATGCTCCGGGGCGGTTTTGTTGGCAGCTCCTGTTCCCTTCGGTGGGAGCTGCTGGGGCTGAGCGCTGTAAACCCTCCTCTGCAGCTGGGAGGCACTAGTGAGGGTTTACTTTGGATGCTCGGCGTGCTGTAGCCTGCACCCTCCCTTCAAAGGCTGGGGTACCCCCAGCCGCGCTCCCAGAAACAGTGGATCCCTTTCACTGCGATGCCTCCATGCTTCCAATTCCCTATGAAACTCTGGGCTAGTTACACCTCCTCTTTCCTGTCTGGGGGTGCTGTTAAAGTAAACTAGTTAATATTTGCAAAGGACTTGGATGTCAAAGGGGCGAGTGCTGGGGGGTGGCCCAGGAGGAGATGGCTGGTGCTTGCAGAGCAGCGTTGGAGCCTGACCAGCCGTCCTCACGGCTGGCCCAAGAAGGGAGTCCTGGTCACGTAACTGCAGCTGGGATCAAAGCTGCATCTGCCCAGGCAGGTGTAGAAGCTGTCCCAGGGATCCTTCTCAGCTCCAGGCTGCTCGTACTGTGTTAATTAAATTTTAACCCTTTCCTCTTGGAAAGGAGAGGGTGGGGCCCCACGATGCTGGGGTGGGTTGAGCCAAAGTCCTCTCCACAGCCCCGTGGAGAGGCAGAGGGAAGCAATGAGCGCCTGCAGGTGCTGGCAAGGAGGCACCGTAACATCCCCACAGCTGCTTGCAAGCATTTAGTGGGTGGGGCGTGCCCCCACCTGGGGTGCATTTTGGCTGTCACAGACCCCCCTCCTGGGAGCAAAGCCAAGGAGCTCGAGTCAGCGTGGAGGTCTGAGGGGGACGGAGGCCTGGGCAGCGGTGCCGGGGGTGTCTGGGTGGGCACCCCACTGGTGAGGGGGTGCTCCCCTCCGCCGGGCTGGGGTGGGTGCTTTCTGGGGCAGCCCTTCTCCCTGGGGCAGGGGGGGCTCCCCGGGGCTGCTGCACCCGTCGGTGAGCTGGGGCTGTGTTTGCGGGCAGGTCCTTCCTGCTGGAGAGGGATGTGCCTGCATCTTCTGCAGGGCTCAGGTGAACCAGGGCTGGTAATGAGGATTTCTCTTCCCGAGGGAATAAAGGGGGGGTCAGGTGTGATTTGGGGAAGCCCGATGGGGGGTAAGGTCCTTTGTGTGGTGAAGGCACCCAGAGCGATGCTGATGAGCCTGAGCCTGCTGCTAAGATCAAGGTTTGTTTGGGTCTCTCTTTCCTCCTAAGCACTTTGGTATAGCCTTACTTTTGCTGTTACCACGAGAGTGTTTTTCTGACCTTTGCTGTAAAAGAAGGACTCCCAGGCATTGCCTCCAGCTGCCCTATTCCCCTTTTTGCTGTGTAACTTGCTGCTACTTGGGGTAGAAACCCTGGGAGAGCCTCTCTCATCCCACTCTTCCCTGAGCCACCCGAACACTCTGTGATGTGAAGGTGGGAGCAAAGAGTCCCAGACAAGGAGGACTGGGGGGGATTGTCCCCCGTGGGTGCCAGTCCTGAGGCGTGTCGTGGCGATGGCTGTCCTACCTGGTCCTGAACCTCGCACACCTCTGTGCCAGGGAGCTTTATACCAAATCCAACTTGAAACTTCCTTGCTGCAGTTTCAGCCTGTAACTCTCTGCCCCATCCTGTCCGCTGTGGACACCAGGGGAACATCATTTTGCTCATCCCTGCAGCAGCCCATAACATACTTGCAGACAGCCCATCCTCCATTCTCTTTTTTGGGCTGACATAGTGGGTTTTTGGTTTTGTTTTGGTTTGGGTTTTTTTTTGTTCAGTTTCTTCACCATGTTGTTCTCAGTTTCTCCACCATTCAGACTGTCCCCTTTTTGTCCACGCGTTCTTGGGGGTGCAGTGCTCTGAACTGCTCTGCTTCCCCAGCCAGAGCAATGCTCTGCTCTTCTTGCAGTGCTCTCAGGAGAGAGGAAAGCGTCCTTTTGGCTGCCTCTGGACTATAATCTCATTTCAGTATCCCAGGGCAGTGCCTGCAGTTTTCATGCCTGTGTGTCCCATGCAGTTTTTGAGCCATCCCACCTCAGACCCTCTCCACAGGCTGCTGCTTAGCTGCCATTCTCAGGACAGGCCAGGGCACTGCTCTGGTCCCTACTGAGCCTCACCCAGCCCATTAAAGCCATTTTCCTGACCCTTCTAATTCGTTCTCTGCTCAGGGCCAGCCTCTTCCCTGTGGCAGCGTAGGCAGAGTGACTTGTCCCCTGCACCGCGGGGGATGTTGTCTCCATCCTCCCCTTGCAGGGGAAGGCTGGTCCCAGACTTTGGCAGTGGCTGGTTGTCTTCCTCGCTCTCGTTCCTCCTCCCAAACACACGCACTCTGCCTCCCTGCCTCCTTCCTGCTGTCAGAGATGGCGATTGCAATCTCTCCTGAATTCCGCAGCAGAACAGCAACGCTGAGGCTTAAACCAGCAGCGAGTGGGAAAGGCTTTGTAGAAGGGATTACAGAAAACGTTGGAAGGAAGAGAGGAGATCACCTTTAATCCTGCTGAAGAAAGGGACTCTGCTGACCTTGCTGCTTTGACCACTTGATCTATAAAACTCTCTGTGTTCCCGGTGTGCCATCAGGCATCTCTCGTTTGCACCGCCAAGGGAAGCGTTTGGGCGAGTGGCGCGGGGAGGGCCGGTGCCAGCGGGCTGGCGCTGCCGCTCGCCCGCAGCCCCGGAGTCAGGAGTTCAGGAGCGAAGCGCTCCCGTGGAAAGCGTCTGGGGGGAAGAAGGCAGTTATTACCTCACTGTTGTTTCAAAGCGCACGTACCGATTAATAGCAACCTAGTTTGCCCCTTTGTTTACTGAACTGATACACGGAGAGAGGCTGTCACAATTAGTTTTGTCTTAATGGGCTATTGATTTTTTTTTTTCTTTTTTTTGGTTGATAAATTCAGCAGCGGTTCCTTGAACCTGGACCTTTCCCGAGAATAAAAACGCCAGGCTGAGCAGGGATCGCTGACGTGGGTTTCGGGGGGAGCTTGCCAGTGCCTGAGCAAACACGCCAGCTATTTGCTTTGCTCTCCAGCCCTGGCAGGGGTGCGGGGGTGCTGCCTGTGCTGGCCGGAGCCGCCTGCCCGTAGCAAAGCACGTGGGGATGCGTTTGCACAGGGAGCTGGAGCTTGTTCTTTGCCATATGCAGCTCGCAGAGCGACCGGGGCTCTCGAGCCAGGAAGGTGCTTCCCAACCCCCTCTCGCTGCGTTTCCTGCAGGCAGCATCAGCGTTTTGTTCTTTGCTCGCTAAGTAAGGTCCTTGTTGCCGTCCTGATGGTCTGGACGGAGGAAGAGTGCAAAGGCCCTTTGTGAGAGCGCCAGCGGTGCCACCTCGGGGTGAGGGTGAAGGAGCCGAGGTGCGCTCCGGGTTTCCGCGCCGAAATAAGGAGCAGAACAATCACACTGGGTCGTGCAGCGCCCCTGGCCTCGGCGAGCGTGGCTGTGCCGATGCTCCCGTGTCACCCACATTGTCCTGCTTCTCCCTCTGCCCGTGCGGTGTGGTGGGGAGAGGGATTTTTGGCTCGGCAGGAGGAATGGCTTTCATCGGACCTGTCTCTCCGGGGCTGCCTCTTCCCCCAGGGCTAAGCAGGTTTGGGGTGACCGTGGGAAAGCAGATCGCAAATGGATGCCTTTTGGGCAGAGAAGGAGCCAGGACGTCCTCGCAGAGCCTTGGTGACAGTCACCAGCGCCCACTGTCCTTATAGGTCACACTGGGACTCCAAGACCCCACCAGGGATGGAGCAGGCATACGTCTGGATGTCCTTCCAAACCTCCTCCTCCTCCTCCTCTGAATCCAGCTCCAGCATCTTAATGAACTGACGCATGATGAATTGAAAGCTATTTGGTATTTCTGTCTGATTCTGGAAGTTTCAGACCTCTAGGCTGTTGTTTTCTACACAGTTTAGGAGTTTTCAGCTTTGTCAGTCATTCTGCTTAAAATAACGGTTGAAATACATTTCTCAGCCTTACTAAATATGCAGCCCTGCCCTTCAGAGGCACCTTTTCAGGGAGCGCATTAAAGTGTGAAGTAGAAAATATCTCTGCCCCTCTACGCTTCCCTGTCAGTCTGAATGCAGGGGATTTTGCTTTTGAGCTCTCTGCGGGCCATGGCGTATAGGCGGGTGGTACGCGCGATCCCGACGTGCTCTGCCCACCGAGGCACGTTCGGTGCAAGTCACCCATGGCATTCAGGAATTTGTGCCACCAGCACCCTGGGGTGCAGGGGGAGGCACTCCGGAGCAGAGTGGGGCGAGTGTCCCCAAGCCCGTCGGCATCGCAAGGAGCGGCTCCCACCTCGGGCGGAGATGATGTTCCTCGTCCCTCCAGGAGCAACAACGCGAGCTCTTTCCAGGTTTGAGTTTTACCATTTGCTTTTGATCATAGGCCTGTATTGTCCCTAGCACATTTCCCCACACACACTGAGAAAGATGAAGTATTTTTTTCCCCCGCTTCTTATGTCTGAAAGCTCTCCCGCACCCCCAGCTTTCCTGCAATCGTAGCACCCGCTGAGTCTTCACCCCCAAATGCAGCGTTTACCTGGGAACTGGCTCATCCTAGTAAAAAGAGGTTTGTCCAGTATCTAGCTGTGCCTGAGCCGGGGCTTTTGCCAGCGGAGCTGCACTGGTCTGAAATCCCCCCTCTGTGCTCTGCTGGCACTTTGGGGGTGGGACCCTGGCCTCGAAAACGCTCCACTTTGGACAGAAGGCAGCTGGGAAAAAGGACTGTGGTGGTGCCTTCAGACTCCCAGAGCATGAACACTGGCTGAACTGTGGATTTCTTGCCCTGGGTAGGTTTTCAGATTTAAGACTAATTTAACCAGGAGCCCAGGATTTCTCCTTGGCATGCCAGGCTGGAGGGGGAGCGTGGTACTTGCTCAAGGACAACCCCCCTGCCCAAAATTCTGCTCCTGCTGTTGTTTTTCCAGTCCTGGCACCCAGGGCTCCCTCCTGCCAGCCGTAGCAAGCACTGGGGCTGCAAACACTTGCAAACAGCCCTGATTTTGTGCTCCTGGGAAATTCGAGTGATGGCCATCTCTGCACTCGAGGGGCGGGCGTGCTGCCAGCATCCTCTGAGGCGGCCTGGGTTGCTGCTGCCAGCACAGATTGCTGCAGGCTCCAAACCCTGGGTCTTATTTCCCCCCTCTGCTACCTTGCAGCAGATTTGGAAGATTATCCGCTGTTTTTTCTCAGTGGAGTTATCTTTGCAGACCATCAGCTGTCTCCCACTTCAGTGTTGCATAATCTACTGGCCAGGTTTAAAAAAAGATCTTGTATCAAATGTGTTTAACTCTGGGTTGCCTTCAGGCTTCTCCACTGTTTCACATAGCTATGAGAGTCTATTTATGTCCTCTCGTACACGGTTTAATTTAAGTGATAGGGATCAATTCCCCTTCTATAAAGTATATCCCGCCTTTCCTGTCCATCCTCCCAAGGTTGTTGGTCTTTCCTGGAGACCGAGGACTGAGACTTCTGCCTGTGCTTTCACTGCTCTCTTTACATACCTTCCTTTCAGCTTTAAAATAAAATTTTAAAAATTGTGCATTTGAAGCCTGAAAAGGGTGTCCAGCAGGGATTAATTAGCCTAAATTAAGCAGGAGATATGCAGCTTTTTTTGTAGAAGAGAGTTTTCCCCTGTTTCCCTCTGCCTCCTGGGGCTGACGCCACGCTCACCTCCGCTTGTTCGAGGGCAGGGTGGGAGCCCCCCGCATCCCCAGCTTGCTGACCCCCCACTTAATCATCCCGTCTCTCCGAAGGGCACACGTTCCACCTTCCTCCCGGCAGCACCCGCTCAGGTTTACCTGGAGGAGCTGCAATTCGGACAAATCCTCCAGCATCTCATCTCCTGGCCACCTTGGGGAGGGCTCCTGCTCCCCGGGGTCGCCAGAATCCTACCAGCGCTCCTGGGACGCGCGTGGCAGAGCCCGGCTGGGCGCCGGTAGCTCCTGCACCCCCGGCAGCGATGTCTGCGCAGAAGGACCAGTGGCCCGGGGACATCGGTGAAGGAAGTCATCAACGCATCTCCTACTCGGGCTTCTCTGCTCTTCTTTGAAGTCTTACAGGACAAGTCTGCCACTGTGTCTCGCTGCCCCCCCCCCCCCTTGTTTCAGCCAGGGAACGTGGCTCTGTGGCCCAGGGTGGTGAGGGTTTACTGGTCCCTTCTCCGGAGAGGAGAAGGCCGCTTTGAGAAGCATCTTCCAGGGCAAAGCTTCAGAACCCGTCGCTCAAGAGTCCAAACCAAATGGAGGAGCCGCACATGCCGGTCTCCCCTGTTTGCAGCATCCATCCCCTCGTGACCAAGGAGCTCGAGTGTCTCCTTGCTGCTTTACCCAAAAGCAGGTTGAGATCCAGGCAGACGGTGGCAATGCCCTGCCTGGCCGCGGGTACCTTCCTTGTCAGCTGGGGAGGGAGAGCAAATGTGATCTCCCCATGGTCACGTTCCCTCACCGGGTGCTGAGCAGCAAAATTATCATCTTGGCCAACCGTCCACACGGCAGGGGCTACAGGGAGAGCAGACCGGGTCATGGAGAGGCCAGAGAGTGTCCAAGGTGGTTTGCAATAGCTGATCAGACCTGAAGGTGACTTTTGGGAAGCTCTGGCCAGTCTGATTGTGTCGTCTTCAGTCCCCCCCTGGGACTGCCTCAGGTGCCCAGGTCTGCGTGAGGTCTCCTCGTCTCCTGGCTCAAGTCTGTCCCCTCGGCGCAGCGATTCTGGAGGGCAGGGTGGGAGGAAGAACTGGTTGTGCTGTGTAGCGCGTTGTAGTTTTTTGCCACTGAACCATAAACACCAGGAGTGAGGTTGGGGAAGGAGGAGCAGCAGCAGCAGCCTGGAAGATGGCCGTGATCAGGAAAGTGCCGTTTGATGCTCGCTCCGTTACTCTGCTGGGAGCCGGTCCAGTGAAGCTGCGTGTCTCTCGCTGGGAACCGTGGTCAGGAGGGGATGGTGTAGGGAGGAGATTGTGGGTTTGAGCATCACCAGGATCCACTCACCACGAGCCCAGAGCTCCATGAGGGGACGGTGCCCCAGTTTAGGAATTGAACTGCAAGTGCAGTAAGAAATTTGCCTTGAGCTGGATTAAGCTTAAAGATTTATTGTGGTCTGGGCACTCATCCTGCCAAATCTTTGCACTATGGAGAAATGGGACTTTTTAGAGCAGCAGGTGCTGCCAGCAGCATCTGGTTCTTTTTAATTTTTTTTTAGGAGAGGCCAGCAAAGCTTGCTGCTTCTGCAAGAAGCCTGTGCTGCCCAGCTCCAAGCAGGACGGCCAGGGCAGGACAAGCTCCAGCTGCCCCATAGCCAAGGGAAGGATGGGGGTTGCTTGGGAGTGCCGGGAGCAGCCCAAGCAGTGCAGCCGTGGCTGGGCAGAGCCCCCAAACATACAGCCTGCCCAGGGAGGGGAGGTGGAGAGAGCCCTGAGCATCCCTGTGCGGGGGGGGGGTGCCTGTCAGCGCTGTCCGGTGATACCCAAGCTTTGCTGGAAGGGGATGCGGGTGTGACTGTGACCCCCAGGCTGTGCCCCAGGTCTCGGGGAGGGGGCAGTACCTATGGAGAGGTGTGTCCTCTACAAGCCACCCAGCACTGACCTTGGATGTGCAGCAGGGAGGGCTTCACACCCTTCTCTGGCCTTTTCCCTTCCTCCAGCCGGGCTGGCGATGGATGCAGCTGAGCCAGCCCGCTTCTGTCTGCGTCGCAGGGCTGTTACCTCCTGCCTGGCTCAGGAGGGTATCTATTGCATATTCCCCCAGCATGGAGGATATATATTGCATCTCTAGATATACCGGGGGAGCTGTGGGGCTGCTGGGCTCGAGGACGAGCGTGTCCCTCCTAACAGCGTGTGCTTTTGCTGTTCCTGGCCAGGTGAACACGGCCATGCATGAGGCGAAGCTGATGGAGGAGTGTGATGAGCTCATGGAGATCATCCGCCAGCGCAAGCAGGTCATTGCTGTCAAGATCAAGGAGACAAAGGTAAGGAGGGCCGGCTCGTGCGTCCGCAGTTCGAGGGTCCCCTCCTGTGCCCAGGGGTGGCTGCTGCAGGGTCTGCCCTTCCCCTCCAGGCCCAGCCCAGCAGTTCTGCAGCCCGTGGTGCTGGGATGTCTCATGCAAGGGGGCTGCTAGCAGCGTGCATCGCCTGGCCTTGCCCGTGAGGGAATTGCTTTGGGCGGGTCGGTGCACACAGCTTCATCTCCCTGCCACCCCGCGCCCCTCGCTCCTGCTGTCCCCAGGGCTCTTCTGCTGAGGCCAAGGCTTGGTGTGGCCGGCGGAGGGAAGGCACGTCGATTAGCATGACAAATAGGTGGAGTTGCTTGGATCGGCCCAGACAGCTTCCTCAGGGCTTTTCTAACGCTGCGGTGCTAATATAATAATGTAGAATTAATATTGAAGGGCCATCCGAGCCCTGCACTGCAGATAAAGGAGAGGCTATGCACCCTGCATTGCAGCATTGCCGTAGGTGAGCTGGCTTCTCACCCTTTTCTTTGAGGGGGTGTTCGGACCCTTCCTCCAGCGGTTCCAGGTGTTCTGGTGCTTCCCAGTGGTTTCTGCGCAACGGGGAGAGGCTGGAGGGACCGGCTGTAGCTCTGAGCGGTGCTCGCGGGAGTTCACTGTGTGTGTGCACCAGCCCTTTGCCTTTCCTGCTGAGCTTGAACGTGCGTTAGGGTCCCGCTCTGCATCCCTCACAGTGCCGATAGCTAACCCGGGGAGCAGCATCGCCCAGAGACAGGGGTTTTTTGCAGGCAAAGGTTTGGGGGTGGGTTGCGCTGCATTGCATATGCAAGAGAGCCAACCAGCCCGGCTCTCGGACAACCCTCGGCAGGAGTGGAAGCTTTAAAATGCCTGCTTTTATCCCAGCCACTTCAGGGAACATATTTTATGTAACGATGCCTTCTGCTGGTCCATCTGTCTGTCTGCCTCTCACTTCCCACCCTCTCCCCCTAACGCCTTTTGACCATGTTGTCCAGTTTCAGCCGTACTTGGCAGGGAGCTGGAAGGCTCAAAGATGTTATTTTCCTACAAATTGGCAGCTGGGTAGAGGAGAGAGGCCCTGATTAGTGCCCAAAACCATCAGCAGAAGCAACACTCAGCTGCTTATAAATTGCCAGGGCAGGAGCAGCAAGCTTGTGCCCATGTAGCTGCAAACCCAGCACCGCACCAGTGGGAGATGGATGCGGGGATGGTGGTACTGGCAGTACTGGGGTGGCGACTGGATTGGTTTTCCAAAGTTACCTGGAATCTGGAATAAGCCTCTTTGCTGGTGAAGTCAGGCTGGAGATGGAGACGTGTGGGTTTGCAGCTCTGCAGTGCCCCTCTGCAGCCCCCCGGGCTGCCGGCGCTGGCTGCGGGGAGGCTGGGTGGGTTTCCTCCGTCGCTTTCGACACCTCTGAGCAACGATTTCCAAGTGTGAACGGGAAGCAGCCTTTCCGATGAGCCCCAGCCACAAGTGTTGGAGAGTTTAAAAAGCTCCAAACACAAAAGAGAAGAGGATGTGCCAGAGACTGCGGCTGGTTTGAAGCGCTCCGGCTGTGGAGCGAAAAATACTGCTTTCCTGCTGAATTGCCATTTGGTTTTCCATTTGCTCTGGGCTGCTCTTCCTGACACATGGCCTGACGGATGCATGGAGCAGCCTAGTCACAGAGGCACGCAGCGTTGGAGAGAAGGGAAGTTTACGAAGGCAAAAACGCCGAGGCAGGGGTTTGTCTCTGGCTAGAGCGCGGTCCTGGGAGGAATCGGCTGCTCTGCCCCAGGGCTGCTTTGGTGGCTGTGAGATGGAGCTCCTCCATCCCCACGGGGCAGCCAGAGGGATGTGAGCACCCGAGCAGCAGCCTGAGGCTTGTGCCTGGTCACGGGTGGGAGCGAGGGACGCCGGGCGAGGGTGCTCGGGGGCTGGCGCCTGCCATGTTCCCGGGCAGTGCGCCGTTGACGCAAGGAAGCCATGCCCAGCCTTTATTATTGCAATAATCCTAAAAAAAAGAGCTCTTCCTGGATGCGTCGCACGTGTGACTTTGGAAACCCACCAGAGATGAGGTACCGAGGAGCCCACGCGCAGCTCCAGGCTGGGCTCACACCCCGCGGGGCTGAGGCGGGTGCTCTGCCAGGGCTGGGGTCCCACCGCCCGTGGGGCTGGGCAGCACCCCGAGGCGGTGGGGACGCGTGGGACGGACCCGGAGGCAGCACAACTCTGCAGGGAGGGTGCGAGGGGGGGGGTGGGAGGGGAGCAGCACCTGGGCTGCCCTGGAGAGCACTCTGCCAGGGCGCGGATCCGGCCGGCGGGCGCCAGCACCCGTGTCACCCCCCCGCAGCACTGCAGGTGCCAGTGTCACAGCCCAGCCCGCCTGGCCTCGGGCCACGGCACCTGCACCGCCTTCCCCCCACTCGCAGCGGGGGCTTTCCCCGGGATTAATGCTGCAGGGATGCGGCCGGGGAGAGCTGGGTCTGGGCACGCCAGCAGCTCCTGGGAGCAACGGGCAGGGACAGTCCTGCCTCTCCCTGCCTGAGCCTGACAGCTATGCAGAGCCCACCGAGTCCTCCCTTGAAACAAAAATCGTCTTGCTGCTCTTCCTTACTCTCCTTTAGATAATTTTTTCTGGCAAGTCTGATCATAAAACGAACCGTCCATCGGCCCATTAAGCCCCAGCAGGAGCGTCGCTGCCTTGTGCAAACAGCCATTTGAGCTGTGCCTGCCCGCTGCCGGCGGAGATGAGCCCCTGCTCCTTCCCGCGCCGTGCTGCCAGGGCACAGCTTGCTGCTCCCTGCCCTCTGCCCCCCGGACAGAGAGAGGCTTTTGTTACCAGGGCCTGTAGTGACAGGACAAGGGGCGACAGTTTAAACTGAAAGAGGGAAGGGTTAGTCTGGACATAAGGAGGAAATGTCTTGCGATGAGGGTGGTGAGACCCTGGAGCAGGGTGCCCAGAGAAGCTGTCGCTGCCTCCCCATCCCTGGAAGGGTCCAAGGTCAGGTTGGACGGGGCTTTGAGCAACCTCACCTAGGGGAAGATGTCCCTGCCCGTGGCAGGAGGGGTGGACTGGATGGTCTTAGAAGGTCCCTCCCAACCCAAACGCTTCTGTGGTTCTGTGTCTGTACACAACCTCGAGCCCGGTGGGGGCTGGAGGGGGGACACTGCCAGGGGTGCGGGGAGCGAGGCCAGGTTTCGCAGGATGACCCCAGGAGCGTGTCGGGTGTGTGGCAGCTTGCAGGGCCCTGGCAGGAGCGTGTCTGAATTCTCAGCGTTATCAGCTCTTGCTGTAAATCAAACTCCACGCGAGCCTTAAGTCAAGAGCAGGTGGGAGCCTGTGGCTGCTTGCTGCGGCGGTAACAGGCTGCACATCTGCTCCTGATAACAAACCCCAGTGTCGTGCCACATAACAAGCACTACCCGCTTCGTCTGGCTCTGCTCCTGGCCACCCGTACGCCAGCCCCACACGTGTGTGAGGCTGCACGCCCGGGAGCTGGCCCCTGCCAGGGGACCAGAGCCCCTGGCCCGCAGTGACTTGCTCTGCTGCCTTCTCCCCTCTCCTCTGCCTGCTCCCACCATCCAGCGGCTCCTGGGCCCGCAGCTCTGCGCTGGGACCCGCGGCCGTGGCGTGGGCATCCCATCCTGGGAGCTTCGTGGGTGCTGGAGTGGGTGCAGGGAGATGCTGGCGCCCAGCAGCACACTGCGGGGCCGTGGTGCTGCGAGCTGATGTTATCCAAAAGCCTGGGAGAAGGGAGAGGGAGAACGTGCAGAGTTCCCTCGTGCCTTGGTCACCTAACAGCTCTGCCACCTCTGCTGATGCGCAGCAGCGGCCTGGCCACATGTTGTCACCTCCCCGGGTGAACTTGAGCTTCCTCGCCGCTTGCGCGGAGCCAGCACGGGGCTGGCTGGGGGCAGCAAATCTCACGGGATGGGCGCCGGGGTCTGGCTCGTGTTTCTGCTGAAGAGGTGAAGCAGGAAGGTGCCGGGGGCACCCTCACCTCTGGTGGGGGATGTCCTCCCCTGTGCTGGCAACGCTTCCCGAGGGATGCCTCACCCTGGGTGCTGTTGCAGAGCTCCCGGTGCTGCCTGGAGGATGCCCAAGTGTCCTCACCTCGCTGGTAATTGACCCCAAGGTCCCCTCCCTCTGCGGCCCGGCGTGCTGCTCCGTGGTTGGTGCTGGAGTGGGTGCAGCCGGGTGGGTGCTGTGCTGGGTGCCCAGGGCTCCGTCAGCTGGTACCCAGCCGTGTCGCGGGGTGCGATAGAAACCCTTAGGTGTTTCGGGGGCGGGGGGGATGCAAAGTCATGGCTTTTTCTTGGCTTGAGGTGCTCGGAGCTCATCTGTTGGCTTCCCACCCTTGGTGGTGTCCATCGGGAGCTCCTGCAGAGGTCCTGTGGCAGGACACCCACAGCCGTGCACGGGGAGCGGGGCCCTGCTGTCAGCCGGGCAATTAGCACGCTGCTTAATTGGAAATGCACTGACACCTCGGGAGAGCAGCTCGAGCAGCCTCACGGCACCTCCAGGAGCTCCTGCTCCTGCTTCCTGATGGATTTTGGAGCTGTGGATGGAGGCGGGGGGGGCGGGAGGGTGTGCAGGGCAGCGGCGAGCGAGGAGCTCCAGGACCCGCTGTCACGACGGCTTGGCGAGCCTTGCAAAATGCCCCGCTCCCTCCTTAAAAGAAGGAAACCCCCAGGGTGTGCGGGGCTCATGGGACGCTTGTGTGGATGGAGCAGGGCCCGTTCAAGCCACGTGCTCTATGTATGGGTGCAAAGTGGTGCCTGGGCTGGTTTTTCAGCTCCTGCTTCCCTGTGTTGTGGGTAACTCTCTTGTCCCATCTTACTGCAGCACCTCACCTTTAATTGCAAAACGGTTTGTGGCTGCAGATGTGCTGTTTTCCAGCAGCTCTGCTGGGGCCGAGCCAGCGTGAGGGTTCCTTGCCCTGTGCTGAATTGCTCTGCAGGAGCACAGCTCCTCTCCCAGCCAAATCTACCGAGAGCCAGCATGAGGGGCATGACGTTGGGTTTGCAGGGGAGGAGCAGAGAGAGGATGCATCGCTCCCCTGCTTTGATCATGCGTGGGACCCTCAGAGTGGCGTGGAGGCTGTTCCCCGGGGGCTTTCGCACCTGCAAGAAAAATTTCCTATGGCAAGTGCATGGCTGCTCTCCCGGCCCAGAGCCCTTGGGGACATTTCCGTGCCGTTTCGCTGCTCCTTGCAGTCCCTGGCTTAGGATGGCGTTTCCTCGGGGCTTTGCAAGCTGTGTGCTGGGTTCTGAGCGCCTTCGCTTCCCCCCGCTCCTCCCGCAGGTGATGAAGCTGCGGAAGCTGGCCCAGCAGGTCGCCAACTGCCGGCAGTGTCTCGAGCGCTCGACGGTCCTCATCAACCAGGCAGAGCACATCCTGAAGGAGAACGACCACGCGCGGTTCCTGCAGACGGCCAGGAACGTGGCCGAGAGGTGGGCTGGCACGTCGCAGCTCCCTGCCCGGGGACGCTCTGTCCTCCTCCCTGCAGCCTTCCAGCCTGCTGCCCTCAAATAAACACCAGGGACAGGGGTGTCGCTGGGGACAGGGGGGTCGCTGCTTCCCTCGCAGGACAGGACTTACCTGGCAGGTCCTAATGAAGCTGGACTGCGGGCGCCGACATCATTCCCTGGGGGTGGAAAGTGCTGGAAATGACAATTCAAAGGGATCTGGGGGGGGCAGTCAGGGCTGGGACCCCCCAGGGATGGAGCCCCCCCACCTCTCCGGGAGCCGGCCCCAGGCTGGGCCGGGAGCAGCGGTTAGGAGGTGCAAGCTGTTTTCCCAACGGCGCGTAACGTCAGCGCGGGGCTGCTTGCACCCTTTTAATCCCCCACCCCGCTGCTGGTGGGTGTCGGGAGCGGCGGGCACCCTGACGCGTATTGATGGTCTCGTCTTTTCTTTCAGGGTCGCCATGGCAACTGCATCCTCTCAAGTTCTGATACCAGATATCAATTTTAACGATGCCTTTGAAAACTTTGCTTTAGATTTTTCCAGAGAGAAGAAGCTGCTGGAGGGGCTGGATTACCTAACCGGTGAGTGCTCCCCACCGCCTGCACCCCTGTTCTTCCCTGCAGCCCCCCGCTTCCCCTGCACCCCGCCGGGGGCCGGCGGGTGTATTTTAAAGCAAACTAGGTTGCCGCTCGTCCTCACCGGTGAGAAGTGCCTGGTCAGCTGCGGCAGAGCAGGGGCTGTGCTGTCACCAGCACAGAGACGTGTCCCCACCCTCCCGTTGTGCTCTGCCTCTCCTGGAGGGCAGGTGAAGAAGCTCAAAAAGCGGGTCCAAAACGATGGTCTCCATGGCCCGGGGAGGAGGCTGACGCATAAGGGTCCGAGAGGGCAGGTTACAGGGAGGGAACGGTGAATTCACCAATGACTGTGCTTCTAATTCACTGCACGCTTTAGCATCTCTCATTTGCTGCCCTTTTTGTGGGTCTCGGTGAGAAATTGAGTGAACTCTCGGGGCAGAGACCTTGCTGGGCCCCTCGGTGCTGCCTGTGGCACGGGCTGGCCCTCGCCCGGGGCGATGCGGGGTGCCAGGGAGCAGCCCTGCCGCAGCCGACTGCGGGGGGACCGTGCTGCGTGCGGGAGGAGGGATGGCAGCTCCGCGGAGGCGGGGGCGGCGGTACCCACCCAAATCCGATTTTCTTCATCAGCTTGAAAGGAAAGATTGACAGCAAAGGCGTCCAGAGCCGTTACGGGACAAAATGCTTATTCCACAACCAGTGCTGAGAAATAGGTGGATTCTGAAGTGGCTTCTCAGCTCGTTTCAGGGTGCAGGTGTCAGGCCTGCTGGAGGCAGCAGCAAAGCCCCCTTGTTCTGACATGCCTGAAAACACACCTCCCCTGGACGTTTTGGTATCGCACTAAAAGGTTTAGTTAAGTGGCAAACACAGTGACAGATCAGACAGCTGTTTGTGCGGAGAGATTTTGCTCCCCGCACAAGCACGTCTTCATCCCCAGGGGAGCAAAGCATGTTTTGGGGCATGTTATGGAAAGGAAGCACCAGCTGACCGCGATACGTTGTGTGTGCCATCTCCCGCAGCGCCGAACCCGCCGTCCGTCCGCGAGGAGCTTTGCACGGCCTCCCACGACACGATCACCGTCCACTGGATCTCGGAGGACGAGTTCAGCGTCAGCTCCTACGAGCTGCAGTACACCATCTTCACCGGCCAAGCCAACTTCATCAGTAAGTCCCTGCGCGATGGACCGGGCTGGGGGACCGCGCTCCGCGCCGGGAGGGAAGGCAGGTTTTCAGCGGGTTTAAAGGCTGGGAACTGGGAGAGGAAACTGCAACAAAGGATCCCCCAGGGTCTCGGCTCAGGGCCGTAACCAACATGATGGAGGACCCCTCCCATGCTGGGGGTCCATAGGGCCCGTAACTGAATTGTCTTGCCCTGCGTTTGGTGCATTATTGGGGTCTCATCTGTCTGCCAGATCCGAGCATCCCACACCGCGCCCTGGGATCGTACAGCTGGGCAGCACCGGCTGCTCTGTGCGCTGATAATTAAATGTGATTTATATACCCTCCATAACAGTATTGAGGCACGTCTCCAGGTAATTTTTCCTGAAAGTAACTGCCATACTTAATTATTTTTCCACACCACCACAAATTGGTTCGGCAGGAATGGGATCTGAGGCCCGAGGAAGGCTCTGGCTGGGGGGTCACTGGTGGTACCGGGTCACTCGGGAAGCGCTGTGGTCAGACAGCTCAGGTCGCAGCGTCCAGCTCCTCTGGGAGAGCTGGGCTTTATGCACTGTGTGGTGCTCAGCAGATTTTCCATGCCGTGTCGTCTTCCCGTGCGACAGGACGGCTTTATACAGTTTTGTGGGGCTGAACCTGCCCCCAGGCTTGCCATGAGGTCAGGAGCACAGCCTGCCAGACGCAGAGCTCCCTCCTGGATGTTTGTTATTTGGTGAAGACTGTGGTAGTTACGGGGGTTTTTAATAATACAAGTATTTTAACAGTGCATTTAACAGCTGGCTCCACTGTTTGGGGAGGGAGGTAATGGGCTCCAGAGGCACGCAGGCAGCGGGGGGCTGGTTGTTTGCAAGGCACCCTCGGAGGCGCGGTGTGCGTCCAGCCCGAGCGAGCTGGGGATTCTGGCGGCTTCGAAGGGACGCGCTCGGCCGCTGGTCCTGCTGCCCGGGTGCGGTGGGAACCAGCCGCGGTGCGGGAGGAGGAGGAGGAGGAGGAGGAGGAGGAGGAGGAGGAGGAGGAGGAGGAGGAGGAGGAGGTGGGAGAGACCTGCTGCAAGTGGCAGCCCTGGCAAAGCATCGTTTCGTGCCGGCGACCTCCCGCCGCTCCTCCAAAGATCGGGACCTTACAAAGCAGGGCTGCCCCCCCCGGCACCCCGGCCGCAGCACCCTCAGTCGGGGGGGCCGTGCCCGGGAGGGTTCCTGCCAGCCCCTCGCAGCGCTCTGCCCGGGGCCAAACGCCGTCTGAGGATGTAAAACACCGCCGGGCCCGACCTGGCTGCCTGGGGCAGGCTCTGCCCGCGGCTCCGCCGGGGTTTCGCAGCAGGGCCGGAGGGCTGCTCTGGGATTAGCCAGGCAGAGGTCACCAGACATCCCGAATCAGCTGAAAGCCTGAAGATAAAATGAGCCAGAAATTGCCTGGGGATTAAAACGAAAGGAATGTGTCGAATGTCTATCTAATTTCCTCCCCCTACATCTAAATTGATCAAAAGAGACAGACTCTGAGCTTTTTAGCACCGTGGTTTATCATTAGGGAGAGCTGGTAAACTGCAGGTTGAACAAGCCAGGCATGGAAACTGTGACACACCCCCCCCCCAGCACCCCCAAGGACAGATGCGTCACATCTGCAGGAGCCATTTCACCTTCCTCCTTGCTTATTGTTGGGAAGGTTTATTTGAAAAAAAGGAAAAGCTGGCTCGGTTGTCCTCACAGAAAAGGGGGTTCTGTGGGTTTCCACAGAGGTGCAGAGAGAGGAGAAGAGCAGTTCAGCCAAAAAGCCCAGGACTGTTGGCCAGTGTCAGCAGCAGTGGTTTATTCCTTTGGGTGCCCGGTGAGTCCTCGAGGTGTCAGAAATATCTACCTATTATGATTTCTCATAGCACTGCCTTTTTCTTAAAAATGGAGGGGGTTTGCATTCTTGGAGGAAAGTTAATTTGTGAACTGCATTATAGGAGAGAGTCCAGGGAAACTGCTCGTTTTGTATGAGAAAAAAATACGGATGTTGTAATAGGAGAACAAAAATAGAGCTTCCAGCTTGTCCATCCTGAAGTAGTGCTTTGGAAGAGCACGGCATCCCCACAGCATGGCTTGTGCAAGAAAGTTTTATCCCTGGTTTTCCTTAGTGGCACTTACCATTGTAGGAAGTGCTGACAAAATGCTTCAGCGTGGACTTTTTGGGCCACTGTCAGTTTATCTCACTGGCCAGGAAGATCATCGGTGCTGGAAGCGCAGTGTCGCGGCGCAGGAAGGCTGTTAAGTGCACTTTAAAATATGCAGGAAGCTGCCAGGGAAAGTTACCGCTTTCGACTTTCAACACTGATTAAACTTGCATCCCCAGCCTTTGCCCTCATTTTGGAAAACAAGATGATTTATTTCCTCTCGCTCAGGGGTTATCTCTGGGTACCCAGCACTGCAGCAGCTAGATTTCCTCTGCTCAGTTCTCTGCTCCCCCAGCCGCAGCCTGTTGTCTCCAGCATTTTCCTCATCTCTGGAAGCCTGGGAGAGCTCAGCAGCCTCCCTGGCTCCATTCTTAGGTGGCCACCAGCCTCCATCTCCCCTGAGGACCAGACGTGGGCCACGCTGGTACCCCTGGTTGTTTGGGTGGGGGGGACACCTGAAGGTCTTTGCACCAGCTCTGCGTAAGCCGGGCTGACTTAGGGCTCGGTCGGGTTGCTCAGGGCTTGCTTCTTGAGCACCGACCATCTCTGAGCATGGAGAGTCCCCACCTCTCTGGGCCCCGCTCCAGTGCTTCCCCACCCTCAGCTAGAAGATTTTTTTCCTTATCTAACCGGGATTTCCCCCTCTACACCATGCGCCCTCGCCCTGGGGCTGTGCCGGGGCTCCTCAGGGAAGGGTCAGGCTCCCACCTCTGCCCATATGCCACTTTGGGTATGGGAAATCCACCCAATCCAATTTTCCAGTCCACCAAGGGGCTTAGGAATTAGTCCCCTCCACACCTTTGGGGGTGGGTGGGTTTGGCACAGGCATTAGGAAGGGCCGTGGAAACCGCAGGGACGATGAACAGCAAGGGCAGCTCTGGAAGAAAGCCCGAGGGGCCCAGGCCAGGAGTGCCCGCCTTGGCCATCTTTGGTAGCTCTTCAGAGCAGGAGTAAAGAAAACATCAGTTAACATCTCAGAGGAGAAAATGAATAATATATTGTCACTTGAAGTAACACAGTCAGGTCTGGGTGATGAGAGCATTTGAGTCCTGGCTGAACTCATGCGTGAAGAGACACTGGAAATAGTACGCCAGGGCTCACCTAGCAGGAGCACGAGGAGGCTTCCCATGAAAGGAAATACCTTTTCAAAGAGCACACAGTTGGCCCGTGGAAACCATCCCCTTCATGTTCTCTTTAAAGCCAAGAGCTTGGCTGGAGTTGGACATTTTTATGGATGACAAAAGCTACAATAAAAATGACTTTTTTTTTAAGCTTTGGCAAGGATAGAAGCCCTCAGTCTTCAAGGCCAACCCCTTCTTGGTTGTTTTGGGAAAGAAACCTGCTTGGGAGGCCAAATCACTCCCGGGCTGTCGCCTCTGAGCCGCCTTGCCCTTTCTGATGAGGGATCCAAAGCTGGTCCTTGTCTGCTGGGAGATAACACCTACCAGAGTTTGGCTGAAAGCTGCGTGCTCTGATGAAAGCAGCTCTGCGTGTAGGATGCAATTGGTATCACATCTGTTTTATTTTCTACTTCAAATAACATTTCTCTCCTCCCCTAGGCTATTTCCACGTATATTTTAAACCAAATCCAGGCTGACAATGACTGCAACCTGCCCTTGTCCTTCGGCTGAGCAAGCCGCCGGAGATAAATAAACACCCCAATGTAAGGCTTAAAAGAGGAGGTGCGGTGCATTTTCCAGGCTCCTTCTCTCCAGCCGTGCACACATGTGCTGGCGGTGGGAGGCTAAAAACCCTCCTCCAGTCACCCTGAATTCACAACCCGCTCCTCACCTATCGACTCGCCCTTCGCCTCCAGACCTGCTGGATCCAAGACGCCTCCAGCTGCTGCTTCTGAGCCTCCTCCTTATTCTTCTTTCGGTTTAAAGCAAGAGCCCCGTGTTGCGGCAGTTGCCCCGGAGCCGTTTTGGGGAAGCCCGGAGCTGCTGGGTGCCGCAGCGGGTGCTCCTGGGCCCCCCAGCCCGTGGGTGCCAGCGCGGGAGCCTGCTCCCGAAACCCGCCGCCTCCTTTTCCCCCAGCGCTGGCTGCTCGAGGTGCCTGTGCAGGCTGCAGGTTGTCCTCACCCCAGCCGTGCCACGGCAGCACCCGTGGCACCACGTAGGGCTTTTCTCCTTTCCTGGAGCCCTGTGTCATCCCACCTTAGCTACAACACTACATTTTCAGTACGTGCCAGGCCCTGCAGCTCTGGCACTGCAGACCGCTGCAGCATTAGGGCTTAGTGCCTCCAGGGTCTTTGGGCTCTTAATTCCTTTCCGTTTCCAGAAAGAGTTCAGGCTCCTGAATGTTTTCCAAGCATCCAGATCCCACTCCCTTCGCTGGGAGCTGTAATTTTCTTTGAACCACGTTGCAGACCAGTCCACACAGGGAGCTGAAGCGTCAGCACCCCTTGGACGTGGATTGCTTCCCACCCCAGAGCACTGAGCGCTGTGGAGGAGCAGGATTAGGGTGCAAGCGTGTCCCTTCCTGCTGCCGGCATCGCATACTGCAGCCCCCGGGGCAGCAGGGAGGCTGTCCTGCAAGAGCGAAGGAAGGAGGGAGGATGATGGTGGGCACCACCTCCTCCCGGGCACCGGCACCTGCCTGTGCCCTCTGCCCTGGCTGGAAGGTGCCACCGGTTGGGTGCCTCTTCCTCTGCACCCCTTCCCCATCGCTTCCCACGCTGGCACCTTGAGATGCCAGCACCCCACGCCTGGGTTTGCCTTACCAAGCGCTGACTTCATGCGATAATAAAGAAGACTCTTTGGGTTGCTGGGGTTTATCATCTGTGGAACCTTTCCTGCGGGTGCCCTGACCTCCCAGGCAGGCGGTGAATCAGCCTGCGGGGCGTGCGGTCGGCGCGCTCTGCCTTAGCAGCACGTGGTCTCCGCGCTCTGTCCTTCCCTGTGAATAAACCTCTCCCCCGCTCTCCCGTTCCGCAGGTCTCTACAACTCCATGGACAGCTGGATGATCGTCCCCAACATCAAGCAGAACCACTACACCGTCCACGGGCTCCAGAGCGGCACCCGCTACATCTTCCTCGTCAAGGCCATAAACCAGGCGGGCAGCCGAAACAGCGAGCCCGCCCGGCTCAAGACAAACAGTACGTGCCCGGGGGTGCGGGGGGAGCAGCTTCACCCGTGTGCGAGCCCGGAGGGGGCCACCCCCTGCGAGCCCCCGGTTGCTGGCAGATTGATGGAGACCCCCGGGTTATTTAAATTATTTAACGTGCCAGTCTCGGCTCCTTCCCCGCCTCGAGGGATGGTGTCCTGCTGCCCCGCGCAGTGCCCGGGGCACCCATCAGCTCTCTGCTCCTGTCAGCGCCCATCCCCGCGGGTCCCTGGCTCAGCTGGGATTTTAGGAGATGCTGAAGGTCCCTCTTCCTGGTCGCTTCACGTTGCTGGGCTTTTCGGGGCTGATGTATGGAGTCCCAGGGCAATTGTGTGCTCGTGCGTGGCTTTGCTCACCCAGGGGCGTTGCAGTTTTGGGGTGCCATAAAGAGAGATTGAAAAGTGTCTGTGTGGTAGCAGAGGGGGCTTTACAGCCACTTTACAGCACTTCACAGCACCCCAGGGATGTCCGAGGAGGGTTAAATATATTTAGGGAAAGAAATCAAGGGTGAGAGTCGGTCGAAAATCAGCGGGCAGCAGAGCCGGACTGTGGCAGCCAGGAGGGAGTTCCTGGGTTTGCGGGGGGAGGAGGGAAGCCTTTTCCCATTGAAGGGCAGCAAGCGTGGTGGGGCCGGTGGCACCCGCTGCCGGGGGGATGTCACAGGGGAGACGGCGTGAGGTGTCGAGGGGGAAAATAAGCCGGTTCTCCAGATTTTGCCCAGAGCTGGCCGCGTCCCTCCGGTGCTCCCCGAGCTGGCCCGGCCCGGCCCCAGCGAGCGCAGCATCCTTCGTGCTTCGGTTCCCAACGCCGCGACTGCTCCTGCCTTGACAAGGCTTTGGGGATGATTTGTCGCCTCCGCCCCCTCATTTCCTCTGCGTGACTTTAAACCAAATGAAATTAAGTGAAGGCGGTGTAGCGGTGGGGCTGGAGGGAAGCCGCTGAGAAGCAAACGTCAATCTAGTTCTGCCTTGTTTATTAAAAATGTATCCCCTCCTGTGGTTGCTGTTTTCAAGGGCTTCCCAGTGCTCTGAAAGGTGCTTGCTCTGGAAATAAGAAATGGGTGGCCGGAGGAGCCCAGAGCGATGCTGCGACGGAGCAGCGCGGAGGGGAGCCGGGGCGGTTTGCTTCAGTGGCAGCTCCCAGGGGATGGGGCTCGCTCTTTGGGCTTTTAACTGTCAGCCAGCAGAGATGCCGGCACGCTGCTGAGAGCTCCTCTTGGGAGGCGAACTTGATGTAGGAGATTTAGAAAGAGCCCAATCGGGTTTTGAACTCCCCTTGTTGCAGGGGTGTGTCTGCAGCGGCTCACTGCATGTTTAAAATCTCAGGCAAGCCCCTCCTGCAGCCCGTGAAAAGTGTTCAGAGAAACTTCTGAGTTTCTGAGTTAGCAATATATACGTCTATAATATTATTTATACTTTTTCTCTCCACGGCCAGCCTCGGCGTGCAAGGGCTGCTCCGGGGTGTTCGCTGCTCATCATGGGGGTCGTGCCAGCCGGAGGTGCCCCCGCTTTGTGCTGCACCCCCAGCGCGTCCGCGCTGGCCGTTCCTCCTCCCCGGAGTTGTTGTGTGGCAACAGGGCTGTCTCCTTTCCAAGCGGGCGATTAGAAGATGGCACACACTTTTCAGCTGCTGTAACCTTGGCGGTAATATCAGCAGCTCGACAAGGAGATGGGCCAATTAGCATATCTCACAGCCCTCTTTCTGCTGCTGAAGTGATGTTTGGAGAGACTCCTTCATCCCAGAAGATCAGTGTCAGGACACGAATTGATTTCCGTTGCATCACTGTTGTCATTGCACGCTAAATCTTTGTTTCCAGACTGCCCAAGCAGAAAAGCTTGGGAGAGTAGTTTTGGTTTAGTGACAGAGAGAAACCTTCCCTTGTGGAGTCTGGGCCTGATGGGGTATCATTTATTAGCAAGTGTCCAAAAGTGGATGAAAGTGCCAGAGTACAGGGACGGTCCCAGCTCTGGTAGTAAAAAAAAAGTGCAGGGAAGGTGGTTTTTACGGTCCTTACCTTGACCATTGCAGACTGGTCTTGTTCTCACTCACATTTCTGTTTCTCCCTGATTTCTGCATCTCTTGGTGAGACCGCCTGGGCAGCACGGGCTGGTGCACGTCCGCATCCCGTCCGGAACAGCGGCCGGGTCTCATCCAGGGGGGTGGCTTTGCTGCGGCCCCAGTTTGCGATGCGCTCCGGGGTCCCCGTTACCGCGGGGACCGTGGTAGCACAGAGGGTTTCTGCGGAGCGGGGTGATCCCTCAGCCAGTGGCCCACCAGGCTTTGCCCGGGGGTGCTCCTGCGCATGAGGCGCGGGTGGCGGGGACGCTGCGGCTGCGGGCAGGGGGGGAGCAGAGCGGAGCAGAGCAGGAAGGGCTGGCAGCGTGTTTTGTGGCTGGGTTTGCTCTTCTGCTGGGCAGACCGTGGCGAACCTCGGGGGGTGGCTCTTGGTCCGAGGGGATCCCGGTCCGGTTCTTTCTGTAGCTCTTACGTAAACCAGCACACAGCCCTGTCTCGGCTGTCCCTCTGGATGGCTTTTTTGACACGCTGGAGCTGGCATGGGTAGCAAGACCTGCTGAGCTTTGCCATAATTGATTCCTTCCCTGAAGCACCAAGAAAAGAAAATCTGACAGTGTAGCCGCCCCATTAACAGCCCTTGTCTTGCAGACAAATTGCTGCTGAGGTAGACAGAAAACTAAGTATTCTTATCTGCACCCGGGATGCGCTGGCTCAGCTCGGCGGGGGGCAGGAGCCCCCCGAGGCGCAGGGGAGCCCCACGGGCGGGGGGTGCAGGCTCCCACCAGCCAGCACCTCCCCTTCACCCATTCCCGGCACTCCGCTGACCTGCTTAATTAACCTGGAGCGTTCTCCTGGCAGCAACCTTGGCCGCCCCCGCCTCCCTCTTTGCTCCTGCACACCCAAGGCCAGCCAGGATTTCCTCCTCTCTGCTCAGCCGCGGCAACGCTCAGGACTTTGCAGGGAAGGGAAGTACAATTAAGCTGATAAACACCCCGAAGGGTGCAGCTCCCTGCGTCCAGCCCCAGAGCTGCCCGGTTTCCTGCAGCCCTCAAGCCCCGTGCAGGCGCCGTGGATGGATGAACCAGAGAAAGGCTGTGGGGAATATTCCAGCAAGCTGAATTTGTGAGATAAAAGTTATCTGAGTGACCGGCCCAGGCAGTGCCCACCCTGGGGGGGGGGGAGCCTGGACGACACCCCGGCAGCACCAAGCACCTCGTCCCTCCTGCTTTGCCTTCCCTTGCCTGTGAAGAACCTAACGCTCTCCTCTCCCTTCACCCCCGGCTTGTGCTGCCCGCAGGACGGGGGCGCAATCGGGGCGGCAGCCCCCGGCTGTGGGGCAGACCCCTTGCCCGGCTGGGCTCTCCCGTGGCGGCTGAGCCCCGCTGCTGCTACCTGCCCCCTGGCAGGGGACCGCTGCTTCCCCCGCCACGCTGCCCCCAAGTCAGGAATCCTCCAGCATCGCCCCGGCACCCCCCTTGCCCAGCACAGCATCGTTCGGGGTGCAGGGACCCGGCGGGCTCGCGCCCTGGGGTGTGAGGCGGCTGAGGTTGGGTCCGTTGGGGGTCTGTGAAATCCCTGTTGTTCCCCAGGGCCAGGCTGGGCTTTGAGAAGGGGGTCGGATGGGAGCAGGCACCTGTCCCGAGCAAGATTTTGCAAGCAGCCTGTGTGCTTTTTAACTCCCGTCTTGCCCAGCAGAGCAGACGTTACTGGAGCCCTTGTTGCAGGATGTGCCAGCACAAACCTGCAACAAGGGCTGGACTCCAGTTGTTCACCTTGACCTTTACAAGGGATCGTCTTCGTGAAAAGGGCTGTGACTGCCTCTCATCTGATGGAGCCGAGTATTTTTATACCTCACTTCCTCAAAGCTTGTCTCTTTGCATTACTGCTGGAAAAAGATAGCTACAGAAATATTAAAATAGCTGGAGGAGAGGAGGGGGCAGGTCACTCCCAATTTGCAGCTTTTCTTTCAGGCCTCTCAACTCAATTATCTAGCAAATTGGGCTCCGAGGAAAATCAACACGAGCTACCATCAGATATGAGAGCGCAGCGTGGATGAGCTCCGTTACGGGGTCGCACTTGAAAGCTCCCCAGCCCTGCCGCAGCTAATGCTGCCGGATGGTTGCGGCGGTTCCCACCCCCAGCCCGGACACCCCCTCGCTGCACAGCGCCGGCGTTTTCCCCCGCCGAGACTCGGTGTCCGTAGCCGAAAGTGGGAGTGTGCGGGAGGGCACAGCTCGCTGCGCCCCGCAGCACCTTCCCTGAGCCGCTCCAGGTGCCAAAGCCTGGGGGTTTTAAGTTGTTTGTGGTTATTCGAGGCGTTTTGCTGCAGCTGCCCTGTTCGGTTTGCTCTGTGCTAAAGGAGATGAATCCCTATAGGGTTTCCTAACCGACAGCGACAAAACCCGCTAGAACTCAGTTTGCTTCTTTGCAACATCTTGGGGTTTTGTTTGCAAGACCAGGGATAGTGTGGGGGCTTCTAGAAGGAAATCAGTGAAAAATAAGGAGGTCAGATGCAGTCTGTGCTGCAGAAGCAGGCGATGGCAGAGTGCTGGGGAGATCACCCAGGTTTGGGCTAGCTTCTGGATAACCCGTGTCCCGGCGCCGGCACATCCCTGCCAGCCCGGAGGAGCCCGAGCGGGGCCGGGGGCGATGCTGTGAGCGTGGGGAGGTGCCCGGCCCCCCGCCACAGGAGGACCTAGAGAGAATGACAGCAAATCTCTGACCAGAGCTGTGCCGGGGGCCCTGGCGGGATGGTCCCTGCGGGGTTACTGGTGGGGCTGGAGCTGAATGTGGCCCCGTCCTCCCTCCCGGAGCCCCACGGGCTTGGGCAGAGCACGGGAGATTTGTTTCTTGCCCTTGGAAAGGAGATCGCTGTCTCTGCTGCTCAGCAGCTGCTTGAGCTCAGCTGTGCTGTTGATGTGTCCCTGCCCATGGCCGGGGGTTAGAACTAGATGGTCTTTAAGGTCCCTTCCAACCCAAACCCTTCTGTGATTCCATGCTGATGATATATTAGCACTCCGCTTTGAAGTTCCCTTTAAGAACAAAATAGGGAATTACAGATGGAAAAACCTCTGGGAGGAAAACCCAAACAACAAACCACCATTAAATCCGCAGAGCCAAGAGCACAGGCTTTAAAAAGCACCAGAATTAAGCTACATGTGCAATTTAATTTTGTTCCCGCATGATGCAGCAGTCGCTAATGCGCGGTCCGTGCCGCTGCCCTGGGGATGGGTGCTGTCCTCCCTGTAGGAGGATGCGGGGCTGGAGAAGCAGTTTCCCAGAGTAGCTTTTCTTTTGCAGCATCAGCCAGAAAGGGTCAGTCACCGGCCCTCAGCACCCCCGGGGGTGCCCCTGTGTTGTGCTGAGGGGTAAACCAAGGCACGTTCTGTGCCCAAAGCTTGCAGCCATGTGGGGATGGACCAGAGGATCTTCAGGGCTGAGCAAACTGATTTAGCCGTACCCAAAAAATGGTGCTGTAGAGAGAAGCCAAAGTCTGCCCTGAACCAGGAGCAAAGAGAGTGACAGGAAAACGCTGGAGCAGGGAGCAGAGGCTCCCCAAACACGCTGCCTTTCTCCCCTCGCCACCCCAAAATGGAGGGCTTTGTTTCGGACTTCCCAAAACACAACCCTCTGGCTTCTCCTTTCCACACCTGCCTTAAAATTACCCTAAATTATTAAAAGAGGAAAAAAAAAATGCATTGAAGCAAAATGGATTGTGAATTCCACACACACACAACCCCACACCCCACAAACCAAAAGCTAAACCTGGCTCGGAAGAGCCGCTCGGGCAGGGCGGGGGGCAGGGGCTGGGCATCAGCCTGGGCATCGCTGGCAGGGCTGCCCCCCAGCATCCCGAGCGGGAGATGCCCCAAACCCCCCAGCCCTCCATACTCAGTGAGTCTCTGTTTGCAAGTATTTTTCTGACCCCCCCCCTTCCTGCATCCTTGCCCACGCGAGACCTGGCCTCGGGAGCCAGCAAGGGTTGGTTTTGCACCAGAAATTGGAGCCTTCCAGAGAAACCCTTGGCGCTCCCCGCTGAGCGTGTAGCGGAGCTGGTGCCCGGAGGAGATGGTGTCTCTCGGCGTGAGGGAGGGCGGATGTTCCCGGCCGCGCGGCTCTTCGGGAGGGTTTTCTCAAAGCAAGCAGGACGGCCGCTGCATGCCAATTAGGAAACGGTTTGGCTCTCCGTGTGCTCGTAACGTCGCGAGGGATTTGCAGCTGGCTTTCAAGCCGGCGTTAAAGATCTGAAAAACCCATCCAGCTCGATCGGGTCGCCGGCGGAGGCAGCCCCGGGGCGTGCGCGGGCCGGCCCTGTGCTCACACCTCCCTTCCCGCCCCGCTCCCGGTGCTGGTGGTTTACAGCGCACGGCCCCGGCGCTTCCCCAGCTCGGGGGGCACCGTGCTTGAGGCAGCGGCAGGCCTCGGGCGTGCTGCCCGCAGCACGGAACGCAGCCTGCCGCGGGGCTCGGTACCGCCGTGCCACCGCCGAAGGGTCTGTTCTCCCTTCCCTGCGCTCACCTAACTCTCGCTGCTGCTAACAGAGGATGGATCCCTTCGGGAACTCGGGCTGCGTGCGCTGCCGGGGTTCGGTTCGCAGCGCAGCTTGAAGGCACCTTCAGTGCCGTTTCCACCAACTGGCACCATCCCCCCTCTTTCTGCCACCTTTTGCATCCTTAGCAGAAGGGAAAAGGGAGTTGCTCTGATGGGCAACGAGGCACTGGAAGGGGTCCGTGCGCCATAAGGGGACCCCAGACCTTCCCCAGCCCCTCTGCTAAAGACCCCTGCCAGGATGACTCAGCCCTGCCCGGCGTATCTCAAGCCTGGACCCTCCCTGGGGGCAGAGCGCTCGCTCTCTGCAGCTCATTCCTCTGCATTTTCAGGTTTCACCTCCTTTCCCTCTCTTTGGTCTGGGAAGGTGAGTGATTCCCGGGCTGGGGAATGAGCCCAGGGTGCAGGCGCTGCCCTCGCCCCCGCTCCCCTGTCTCGCTGGGGGGGGTGTTTCGTTGCAGACGTGGGCAGCAGTGACTTGATTTCTCCTTCCAGCGGGGCTGGGGAAGCCACCGCACGCACCAGGGGCACGGGAGCAGCACAGGGACCGGTGGGTTACAGATCAGCCGGTGACAATAGATGCACAAGGCACGTGAATGCACCTCAGCGGCTTGCTGGGCTTCTGTAATCCCGTGTCCTGGGCTGGTGGGGGAACGTCTGGCTCACGGAGGATGTCCAGAGAGCCTGGGGCAGACATTCCCTGCCCTGTTCTGCCTGCACGATGATGGTAACAAACCTAAATCCTAACCCACGTGTCGCCTTCTGACAGGTCAGCCTTTTAAGCTGGACCCCAAGATGGCTCACAAGAAGTTGAAGATCTCCAATGACGGACTGCAGATGGAGAAGGACGAGAGCTCCTTGAAGAAAAGCCACACGCCCGAGAGGTTCAGCGGGACAGGATGCTATGGCGCGGCAGGCAACGTCTTCATTGACAGCGGCTGCCACTACTGGGAGGTGGTGGTGGGATCCTCCACCTGGTAGGCAGCACTGTTGTCTTCCCTCCCTCTCCTAGAGACCCTCCGATTTCCCTAGAGATGTTGTGGGGCACGCTAGGGCTAAAGGCCAGGGGTTTGGCAGAGCTGCTCATGGACAGGGAGGTGCTTGAGACCTTAAATCTGGGTTTCCCTGCTCTGCCAGAGGCCTTTGGGTCCGATCCAGTCAGGCTGCAAGGCGAAGCTTGTATCTTCATTTCCCTCACCTGCTAAACCTGCTAATGCCTGCTGGGGCTCAAATCTCACCTCAGTGCCAGGGCAGAGGTGCCACAGAGCTTTAAATCTGCTGGTTTTCTCATGTGCAGTGCCCTCCCCTGGGCTGTCTCGTGCAAGGTCCTGCTTAGCTGGGCCAGATGTGGTTATGAAGCCTGAGCTGGAACGCTAAGCAGAGGGGGACCACGACTAAGCAGGGGAGACCCGAAAGTCTCCAGGGGAGGTTTGCAAAGACCCAGTGAGCCACTGAAATACCCGGCAAGGGCAGGGAGCTCAGGGGAAGCCTGCTTCACTCTTATTTTATCCTGTATTCATAGCCCAGCATTGCAGGCTGGTGGGAGACACCATCCCAAGCAAGCGGGTCCTGCCCTCGTCGGGACGTGCGTCTCTGCCCTGGGATGGCAAAGGGGCCAGCGGGGCAAAGCAGAGGGTGACGCTTCGCTTGCTGTTCGCTCTCCGTCTCCAGCTGGCTCTGCCCCAGGGGAGGCTGCCTTCATTGCCACGAGCTGCTTCTATAGAGGGAGGGCAAGCCCGTGTCTCCCTCCCGTGGGCAGGAACACAGCGGTTTGTCCCCACCTCGGGCACACTGGTGTCTGCTGAAGGCCAGCGGGCTCAGTGGGGCACGGGCAGCCCGCGACACAGCCCCTGCTCTGCAGTGGCTGTGCTCAGCCGAGGTCTCACGGTCGTTCTCTGGTCCAGGCTCCGCGGGCGGATGCCGTGAGAGTGGGAGGGCGAGAGCCAAGCCCCCCTGTGCTCCGTGGGAGATGAAGGTGGCATTCCCAAGGGTGACAAGGATGGGGATTGCTTTAGCCCTGCTCCTCCCCAGCAGTGCTGCCTCCCCCCGCCAGTGCCCTTGTTAGAGATGCTTGTGCAGGAGCACAGCCCCAAGCACAGCTTCTCGCTCCCAAGAAGCATCCTCGAGCCCACCGCACCTCCCTGCGGCACCTCAGCAGGAGCCCCCAGCCCAGACTTGCCCTCGGGCCCAAGCCCCTGCCTGCAAAACGCATCTGGGCAGCAGCAGAAGGGACGAGGCGGGGATGCAAGCTTGTGCAGCCTTCGCTAAAAGGCAGTTTCTGACTTCAGCATCTTGATTTGCGAGTTCTTTCTCGAGCAATAATTATACCTGGAGCTGCTCCTTAGAAATGGATCTGTTCCAGGTGTTGTTTTGCTGATGACTGAATACTGTGAGACCTTCAGAGGAGGAAATAGCTTTCAGATATATGGCAGCTCCTCGGGCTCGGCGGAGGGCTGCGTTCAGGCGCAGAAGGAGCACGGCTGTGTGCTGGAAGGCAGCTAATTGAGTCAGCGGGGTGGCTGTGACTCAGAGCGAGCCCAGAGCCCCGTGTCCGGGGGAGGCTCACAGCAAGGTCGCTCGTGACCAAAGCCTGCTGGTTCTTCCAACAGACCGGGGGGGATTTTGAGAACAGAGAGTGGCAGCGGTCAAAAGCGGGTGAGGCACGGCACAGGCCCTCTCCATGCCCCCTAAGTCATGACCGCAGGGAACTGATGCTCCTCTCCCAGGGGCCTCAGGCAGAGCCGGGGGGAAGCCCTGGCAGTGGGCTGGCAGCTCTGCTCTGCAGTGGTGGGGGGAGCGGATCAGGAGCTTTTTGTCCCGGGGGTTTGGAGGAGAGGGGTGCCACTTCTTGCCTTTCCTTGAACCCTGTGCTTGCAGCTGCTGCCTGAGGCAGAACACCAGAGCTGGTGCTCAGGGGTCATTAACAGAGAAAACCCCTCTCCCTGCCCCGGAGAGCTGTCTCTGGTTTCTGGGGGTGCCTGTCTCCCCTCTCCGTTGGGGGAGGGAGGCTCAAGGAGCAAGCACAGCAGCAGCCCCGGCTCAGAAACCGCTCCCGGTGCTCAGCCTCCTGTCCACCCCCCGGGCTGAGAAACGCCCTCGCACAAAGCACGCTTACAGGTGACACAATTGGGGTTTATTATGAGCAAGCCCCTGCCAGGCAGATCCCCAGAAAGCCTTGGCTAACCGAGCTGAGCCGGGAGGCACTGCAGCGGCATTGTCAAGCTGCTGCCTCGTTAAAGTGCTTGTGCAGCACAATGGGGCTAAAACGGCTGGTTCCTGCCGCCAGCACCCAGCTGCATCACCTCTGCCTCTCGCCCGCCTGGCAGCAGGAGGCTGCATGGGGAGGGAGAGATGCTTTTCCCCAGCCAAGCAGCTTTTCAGTCATGTAATTGCCCTGCTGCTTCCACAGTCGAGCGGCGTTTTCAAGCACGGGGTGCCGGCGGGGCCGGGCTTTGCCCCGCGCTGAGGCTGGGGGTTGCTCAGCAAAGCTTCTCCTCCCTTGCAGGTACGCCATCGGCGTGGCTTACAAGTCGGCCCCCAAGAACGAGTGGATTGGGAAGAACTCCTCGTCTTGGGTCTTCTCCCGCTGCAACAACAACTTCGTGGTGAGGCACAACAACAAGGAGATGCTGGTGGAGGTCCACCCGCAGATGAAGCGCCTCGGCGTCCTCCTGGATTACGACAACAACGCGCTCTCCTTCTACGACCCGGCCAACTCCCTCCACCTCCACACGTTCGAAGTCTCCTTCATCCTACCCGTGTGTCCCACCTTCACCATCTGGAACAAATCCTTGATGATCCTCTCGGGTCTGCCCGCCCCGGACTTCATAGATTACCCAGAGCAGCAGGAGTGTAACTGCAGGCCCCAGGAGTCCCCGTACGTATCAGGGATGAAAGCCTGTCACTAGGCTGCCCTAGCCCTGCCCGTGCCCCGCGGTGGCACCAGCGATGCCGGAGTCGGCGTGCCGGAGAGCCGCCGTGCAGCCGTGACGCTCCAGCAAGCGAGCGCCCTCCCACACGCAGCTCAATCATTTTTCTTTTTGAGGGGAAAAGAGGAAGGAACCTCTAACCGCAGCTGAAAATAAACTCCTGTTGGCGAGCTCCGCTTGTGTGCGAGTGCGGCTTGTGCAACTCCTCGGTGGCGTGCTCCGATCTCTCCCGAAGAGGATTGTCACCTGGATGGTTTTCTCTTCCCCTGGGGGCTGGAAAGGCCGGGGCGGGTTTCGGGGTGACCTGAGGCGCTGCTGCGGTCCGGGGGACATCCCATGCGTCCCTGCAAGGTGCGGGTTGGAACGGGAGGGGTTTGGCTTTCTGGAGCCCGTTGGTAGTTTGTCTCGAGAGCGTGTCACTGCTGCTCGCGTTCCCCGGGCTCGCAGCCCCGCAGCCCGCCGGGACCCCCACCCCACCGCATCTCCTCCGTCGGGACCCCAGCAGGAGTCAGGGAGGCCCCCGCCCTGAAGGAGCAAGCTGAGGAGCGTCTCGCCCCGGCACAGAGGTTTGGCAGATGCTGGCTCCGGCCAGCTCGGCCCTGCCACGTGCGGCTCCGTTAGTTTCATGTCTGGTGTCCCTGCAGAAAAAAAACCACATCTCCCCATGCTGAACAAATGGCCGAGTTCTGCCCGAGGACCATCTCTGTGCTTTAAGACCCGAAAGTCTTTCAATTTATGACCCCACATCTTGGTTTGTTCTCCACCATGGTGGTGTGAGCGTGGAGCCGTCCTGTTTGCTCTGTGGCAAAGGACCGAACCCGTCCCGGGGGCTCCAGCCCCTGGTTACTGGGAGCTCTTTGGCTGCCACCAGTGCTCCCAGTAACCGCAAGCACAAAGTCCCCTGGCCAAGCTTCGGTTCCCACGTTTGCTGAAAAGCCAGGAGGAGCTGGGGCGGTCCCACCAGTCCCTGTGTCGCAGGGAGCAAAGACCCAGCGCGGGCACCTGCAGCCAGGGTCCGTGGCACGACCCGGGGCGGGGGGGGGACAGGCGGATGTCCACATCGCACCCGCGGCAAGTGACACGGCGTGGGGGGGACACGGGGGAAGCGAGGAGGCCAGGCAGCACCGTGGCCCAAGACGGGCTGGTGCTTGAGCTTTGGTCCGTGGCGTTTGAAAAGCCCTCTCTTCTCCTCCGGACGTAGTGCTGCCAGGTGCATCGGCGGCATTGCATGGGGACCGCCGGGACCTCCCAGCCCCGCCAGCCTTTTCCTTTCTTTTTTTTGGACCTTGCTGATAGGGAACTACCTCACAGCCCAGCCTCAGAGGGGTAGGTGGCCGGTTCAGGCAGGGTGGCAGCGCTTCGAGGCTTGTCCCCCAGGGGCTGTGGGAGAGGCCGGTTAAACTCGGCGGGAGCCCGTTGGCCGTGCCCCAAAGCGGGTGCCCCCCGCCAGCGACCCGGCCTGGGGGACGCCTGTCACTGGGTCTGGCGGTGGCAGCTTTGTGCGGGGACAGCGGGTCGCAGAAGAGCGCAGCGTCCCGCCGCTTTGCCTGGCTGACGTTTCTGCGGACCTGACGCTGCGGGTGTCCCCGCGGGGCAGGGACCTGCCGCCTGCCCAGCCCCGGGTGGGTTCGTCTCTGACCCCGGCTGCTTTCCCGGGGCGCTTGGCCGGGGCTTGCGGCGGGCGGTGCAGCCCTCCGGAGAGGTTTTATTTACTTCTGCCGGGTGGGGATGCAGCAGGGTCGTGCCTGCCATTCCGCTCAGCTGAGCGCACAAACACAGTTCATTTTAAGAGGATAAGCTGCCATTTTCGGTTGGATGTTTTTCTCAAAGCCGCATGGGGCTAACGTGAAAGTCTTTTCTCCGTGTGCCGGTCCCGTCCGGGGCTGCTCGTAACGTGTCGACCTCGAACAGACGCCCAAGCACTGGAGATGGATTTTAGCATTTGCGATCCAGGCGCCGCGCTTGGCACCCGGGAGGACTCGGCGCGTCCATTAACTCAGAGCACACGAGCCATTAATGTGACATTTGCACCTGATGAAATTGCACTAATTGCGGGGGGCTCCCCCGTACCCGGGGCCGGGCAGGAGGGCGAAGCGGGGAGCCCAGGGGTGCCCCGCACCCCAAGCAGGCAGTTCGAGGGGGGGGGGGGGGGGGGTCCCTTTCCGAGCCACCCGAGTTTTTCCTCTCGTGGTTTGGGGAAGCAAAACCCACCCGGGTGTCCCCAGGAGGGTGGGCGAAGCGGCCCCGGCCCGGTCCCCGCCCCTGAGCGAGCGATCCCATTGGTTAAAACCGCCTGGGGCATGATGACGCCGCAGGAGTTACAGCCAATCCGAGCCCCCGCGGGCTGGGCAGCCCTGGGTGATGAATGAGCACGGTTCCCACGGCCCGCGTCGGGGGAAGGACACGGGTGGGGGGGGCGGGTGCTGCTGCTGGCTCCTCTGCTCCTGGGGACTCCGCTGTACAGACGTGGGACGTGGTGAACCCCTGGTGCGGCCCGTCAGACTCTTCCATGTGTAACACACTCGGTTCGGTTCGGTTTGGGGGGAGGGTTCTTCTTCCTGTTATGTTTTTTCCCTTTTTTGTTGGGTTTTTTTTTTGCAACTTCTTTGTTAATGTGTATATATATATATATATATATATATAAAATATAATATAATATATATACATTACTGGATATGTCTCTGTGTGGCGGAGATGGTGCAGTGCGTGACATCCCTGCTCCGCAGGTGCTCTCCTTGGCAGTCACAGTTGGTGTTCTCCAAACCTCCGACAAGATGCAGACCGTGAACCTCGGGGTTACCGAGTCATGGGCATAGGAATAAATCAGCAACACAAAAGAAAAGGCCTTTGCTTCCTCGAAAGGCCGGGGCTGGCCCCAGCACAGCCCCTCGAGCCCCAGAGCTCAGCCCCGGCTGTCAACCCGTCCTCCCTGTCCCGCTCTGCTGCCCTTCGCCGGGGGGAGGCTCTGCCCGTGTGCGGGGCTGTCCCCGGGGTAAAACCAGCTGTGGCCGGGGGGGGCTGATCCTGCATCTGCCCCGGGGAGCTGCTTCAAGGGGCAGGAGCCCGGCCAGCCCCAGCGAGGAGAAGGGTGAGAGGGGTCCTTCGCTTGGCCCCCCGGCACCAGGGGGGCTCGGCCCCTTGGCACCCGGGGGAGGGCAGGGCTGGGTGGGCCAACCAGGAGCACAGCCCCTGGGGGCTCCGCGGGACCCCACCAAGCAGCACTGGCCCCCATGGCTGGGACCCCTGTGCTGCCCCATCCTCTCCTGGCTGAGATAAAGCTGGGCCTGCTGCAGGGGCTCTGCAGGCTGAGATGGGGCCACTGGGCAGAAATCTGCCCCCAGTGCCCTGGGGAAGAGGCATTGGCGGAGCGGGGGGAGCCCAGGACCTGCCTCGCCAAGGGAAGCAAAGACACACAAGCCCATGGAAGACAGAGCCCATCTTTGTTGAGCATGAAGTACCTGAAATATTTATTAAGTGGAAAACATATGGTGCAAACCAGCACTGTAGAATTAAATATTTCTTACTGTATTCCTTTGCTCTAGGCTTTTTCCCATTAAACATTAACCACCAGCACATGGAACTTGGCCTCAAGATTGAGTAGCTGCTTTCATGATGGGACAAATCTGTGGCGTTTGCATTATCTCTGCGCTCGCTGCGTGGTGTTGCTGACAAACACAACTGGAATGAGGCACTTTCAGCTGCCTTGGCCACCCTCTGCGGACTGTGATGGGCTGCCCAGGACCGAAGGCACGAGGTGTGAAGGGCTCAGCTTGCCTCCTGTGCTCCTCTAACCATGTGCTGCCGCCAGCACTGCAGCAGCTCTTTGTAGGCTTTCCAAACACAGCCTAAATCATAGGAACTAAGCCCAATGCTGCTTGCGCTGACATCACCGGCAGCCGTGCTGCTGACATCAGCAAGACTGGAAATAAGCCTCAGCTTTTGAAAAAAAATATCCCTTTCTTCATATTCAGTGTTTCCTCCATCTTTCAAGTTCAAGCAAATCCTTCTCAACAAGCCAGGAGGTGTCAGCGAGTGAAATCGCATTTCGGTGCGTTTTCCATCTTCCTTCTCACATGAGTAATTCAAATGACCATGGCCATGGGTCAGCAAAGCCTGGGCCAGGGGCTGGGACGGGGGTAGGAGGAGGCAGTGACCAGACCCCAGCAGACACAGCTCCGGGCTCGGGGAGGAGGAGGAAGACTGGAGCCCAGCAAAACTCCAACCTGGAAACTTGATGCCACTGAAAAAGTTGGATTTTTGGAGCCCTCAGGTGCACACCAAGAAAATAGCACAGGTTGCATTCATCAAGCCCTTCCAACAATCCCCCCGCCCCAAATCACTTTTAAAAGGCAAGCCTAATACGTGAGTAAAAAATGTGAGTGGATGCTCCTTTAATCTCAAAATTTCCCATATTTTCTTCCAATAGTACCAAAGCAGAGAGGAGGCCATTTTCCCACTTGGCTCTAACAGAGACCCTGACACACGTGCAGAAAGCCGGAGGTGACCCTCGCACGGGGGAGCAGCCCCCCCGGTCGGAGCGACGCCGAGACGTGGAGCCCAGCCCTGCACCGAGCCCGGGGGAGCACCCGAGGAGCAGCGAGGACACGAGCAAGGCAAGAGCTGATTATTCCCAAGGTCTGCACGAGGGGACACAGCTCCTGCCCACGAGTCACGGGCAGATCACACACACTCACCAGAAACACCGGTCTGCGCTCCGCTGCCTCCTCAATCAGCGCCGGAGCCTCTGCTCCCCCAGCGTGTCACACGCACTTTCATTTAGTGCCTTCCAATTTTCCAGAGCTCTGTCCCTACCAACGGGCGTGGAGAGGGGAGGGAGAGGAGAAAAAGCTTTGAAAATTATGGTAGTGTTGCAAGGTCAACATTAAGGCCTGCACTTATGCCCTGGATGTCCCCTCCTGGGCATAAGCTGATGCTACGCAGCCTGCGTGACCACTGGCTCTTTTAACGGAGAATTTCCTCCTCAGGAGAGAAGCCGCTCGCTGAAACGGGGCGGCCGTTAAACCTTTCTACCCTCAGCACTGCCGCGCTGTGCAGAAAGCGGGATTGGCCCTTTCCACGTGGGTTTTGGGCACCGTGCTAGCACCAATGTTCCCTGATTCCCAGAGCCCGCCGAGCCGCGCGGGATGCTCCCCGCTCCGCGGAGGCTCAGGGGGCTCCCGAGCGCCGGAGGGCCGACGTGGCTTGTGGGGGGCCGGCGGTGCGGGGGCTGCGCTGCTCAGCGCCGGTAACACTTTCAGAGGATGGTGTTCAATGCTCACCCCCCCGTGGCTGCTGGGGTTGGCTGAGCATGGGGATCCTTTTTTTTTAAAAAAAAAAAAAAAAAAGAAAATAATAGTTGAAAAATAAAACCTTCCAAAGCAGAAACGTTACCCAAATGGCTACAAATTGGCACTGGAACCGCAGAGCCTTAGCGTGGGCAGGGCCAGGGAAGGCTCCCAGCTCTGCCTGTCATCCCAGCCAGTGAAAACTCCAAAACTGGGGTGAAAATACGCTCTGAACAGCCCCACCTGCGCGCCCGTGGAGCCCCGAGACCCTCCCGAGGGTTATTCTGCTGGAGCTCACACCTGGCCCACCAGCCTGGGCCGGCCACCCGCTGCAACCAGTGCGTGAGCTGGTGCTCCCACACCGGCAGTGGGGCCAGGGAGGGGACAAGCCATCCCTCAGCCTTTGCTCCCGAGAGCTCCAGGGGCCCCACCACGCTGGCTTTGTCAGTGATCCCAGCAGAAAGCACCTCCCTGGAAGGACAGCCTGCCCAGTGCATGCTCATCCCACCTTCCGCGCACATCTGGAAAGCACTGGGGTGCCCGCAGCCCCACCGGGGGGGTGGCTATGTCCCCCTCGGCTGTCATGATGCCTCCTTATGTCAGTGGGTTCCATCACCCACCTGCTGGTAGCCAGACTGGTCCCATTCTGAGTGTCTGGCAGGTTTTCTGCGTAGGACAGAGAGCGGCAGTGGTCGCAGGGAGCGCGGAGGTTCGTCAGACCCAGCAGCCTCAAGCAAGGCACCCCCTTTGATGAATTTGAGTCCGAGGCACCAGCCAGCCCCTGTCTGCGGGTCCTCAGGACAGATGAGCACAGCAAGCCACGCAGAGTGGGTGACGACCCACTCACTAACGAGCCACGGAAGCTCATCTGCCGTTAAATGAGCACCAAGATGCACGGAGAGCTTCAGGAGAGCCTGTGAAATCCACTTCGACCTGCGACGGCAACATTCGGCTCCTGTCCCGTCTGTCCTGGGCAACCCGGATCCCCTCCTGTTCTGGGGAGAGGATTAGCGTGTCCCCCGTGGGGCGAGGGGCTCGGCATCGTGGTGTCGTGGGTAGAGGCAACTCCCGGCCCCGTTCTCTGCGCGGAGGGGGAGGCAGCAAGCCGGGGAGCACAGCCCAGCCGCGCCGTGCCTGCCCGTGCCCCCCGAGCCCCCAGCAGCGAGCAGCAGCTCCAGCAGTCCGGACAGCCGTCTCCAGGACGGAATCTGCAGCAGCACGCTGGGATTTGTCTCCACGCTCCGAGCGTGCCCTCCCGGGCTCTGGCAGCGGCAGCTCACAGGCATTTTTCAGCTGGAAGCCATGTTTGCATCGCTTTAGGCTAGCGCCGCACGGCAATTTCCACCCACACATGAGTAACTCCTCTTCCTGCATTCATCCTGCAGCAGTGGGGTCCATGAGCTGTGAAGCAGCATCAGAAAAAAAAAAAAAAAATTTTTCGGGCTTGTTCCAAAACCTGCTGCCCGGTAACTTCGGGGTTTGGGCAAAGACCTCCCGGTTTGCTTCCTTTGTCAGACACAACAACGTTAAAATGTTGGAAAGGTTTGGGCCGTTGCTGTGATCAAACGGGGCACTTGCCCTTTCGCTGAATGAGCCTCAGCACTGCGAAGGCTGAACGTGAACGCGGGTTGTCTGAAGAGCTGGCGGGGCTGGGATGTGCCAGGGAACGCAAGCCCTCGGAACGCGACGTGGCTGGGAAGGGTCAGCCTATGGCTGGGAAGGGTCAGCCTATGGCGAGGTGGGTGCCCTGGGCAGAACCGTGTCCTCTGGCTGTGCCCAGAGCTTCTGGAGAGCAACCATCACCATGGGACCCTCCTGCCTCCTGCTTCAGCCCTTCAGCACCCTTCACCCGGCACGGGGCTGCTCCTTCGGGCCCCCTCGGCACGCTGCGTACGGCCCAGGGCTCTCTAGACACGTTTCCTGGAAGCCGAAGGAAGCTTTACTCTGTAAAAAAAGATGTAATTGCTGGTTGTCTTTATTTTTACAAAGCAGCTGGCGCTAGCCAGAGAGTGGGAAGGAGAGCTTTTCCCTCTTTCTTCTTGCTTTATTCAGTGCCTTTCTCCATTTCTGGCTTTTGGGGAAAAATATCTCCTGTTGATGGGCACCTGTGAAAGTCAATTTAAAACTATTACTGAATGGCAGGTTGCTTCATAGAAAGAAAAAGACCTCACTGAGGGGATGAAATGAGCTTTGCCACTGCTTTCCAGGAATGCACTTTTAAACACACGAGGCTTCAATGTCACAAGTGCCACAAATCTGGAAAACAAGAAATCTCTTCCTTGACTAAACTGGAGGGGAAAAATCAGCCTGGCAATTGTTAGTGCAACGAAGGGAGGGCCGGTCGTGCCTTCGCCCGGCCGAGGTGTGTGCACACAGCGCGGGGGCCCCGAGGGGCCCCGAGTGTGGGGCTGGGGGGCCGGGGCCGGGAGCTGCTGCTCCTCAGGGACAGGGCGGGGGGCTCCCAGCCCCAGCCCCCAACCTCTGCGACCTGGGGGATGCAGGAGAAGGGTGATTTCTAAGCTGATGCATGGGCTTGGGAGGGCTGGTGGCACGTTTTGGGGTGGGCTGAGGGGAAGGTTGATGTTGGCGTTTTATTTTTTTATTTCCTCTGGAGGTCACGAAACAGGAAATTCAGAAAAACTCCCTTGCCAAAGCTCAAAAATCCCACAGAGTTCATGGGAGCCCTGGCGCTTCACCCCTTCTCTGGGGAGCTGCAAAGCAAAGAGACAGGACAAATTACTATTTTTATACAGCAAGTGACATCAAGAGACTGCCTCATCTGTTCCTGTCTACTAACAACAATGGCTTGCACTGAGATGTAATAATTCTAGCCAGGAATACAAAGCTGCAGTCCCTCCATCCATGAATGAAAATTCCTTTAACTGGCGAATTCACTCCGGGTTGAAAAAAAACCCCAACAGTTTAATAAATGGACAGAACGGAAAATTACACCCCTGAACCTTTCATCGACTGCACGAGGTAAATGATTCATAGTGTCTGTTGTGCATTGTCTGAACTGGCCCCAAATTAGTCCTCCTTAATACAACTCGAACTGAGATTTTCGATACTCCTCTGGAGCGTCAGCCCCTAAAATTGGCTGTTCCTGATCGCTGGCCCTCTCCGGCGCGCCCCGGGCGGCGCGAGGGCGGCGGCGATGCTCCATCCCGCCCGGCCGCGGCGCGCGGGGGGTGAGGACATGGCCAGCGCCCCGTGCCTTAGCCCAAAAGCTGCCGAGGGGGCTGGGGGGCAACGGCACCCCCGCTCCTACGGCCCAGTGTGTCTCAGCCACCACCGGTGGGTACCAGTGCCTGGGGGTGACGGCTCTGTGCAGCCAACGTGACGGGGCCCGGCCTCGGCGGGGGAAGCAGCTCACAAGCCCGAGCTGCTAAGCAGCGCGTGGGCTGAGGCACAGTAAGGAGCTGCTAGATGCTTTATTTTCCTCTTGGGGTCCCCGGGGGAGCACAAACAAAAGGTTAAGCATCACCCGGAGCGCCCGGCAGAGCTCAGCCGTGCGGGTTAGGAGAGAGCTGGAAGCGATTCCCGAGGTGCCAGCCAGCGGCAAAGCCACGGGCTGACCCGCCTGGGGAAAGGCAGCCGGGACCCCGCTTCGGCCATCCCGTGGTATCTGCGAAGCCGACCTGGCCCCCTCTCCTGGGAGTGCCACGTCTGAGGCTCGCCGCAGCATCCTCCCTGCTCCGGAGCTGGTCCACTCAGTCGAGGCAGGAACGGCGCAAACCCTGTTGAATGGAAACGAGTCCAGTTCTCCATGGCAACGCGCGAGAACTGGGTCAGCTGCAGGATGCGAGGAGGCAAACGCTCCCAGGAGGGCGAGAGTAAACACGCAGGCGAGAAGGCATGCAGAGCCACGGGGGCAGGGCAGGCGACAAGGGCGCCCTGAGCCCCCCGTACCCCCCGGAGACCAACTGGAGCTCCCACCAAGTGTCACCCAGCACGGCGGGGTCCCCCAGCCCTGCCCCGGCTCTGGGGGATGGCGGTGCCCCGGGGCGCAGGGAGAGGGGCTGGGGGGAAGCTGGGAGGCATTTCAGTGCCCGCTCGGGCGGGTGCATCTCCTGCCTGGCCCTCAGCAGCCGTGCCCCAGAAACGCGTCCTTCCCCCTCGGTCTCAGCCACGCTGAGCCAAGCGCCTTCCCTTCGCGTGCTTTCCTGTCTCAGATTTGGCCCTTTTTTATTTACAAAGACAGGCAGGCTGACATACATTTGCCAGGGATTCTCTTTGCAGAGGCCGTCCGTGTGACAATCCCCGTTACGGCTCGCTTGTTGACAGGGGCCGCGCCGCCCCGGCTCGCTGTTTGATCAGCTGGATGCAGCGGTGTCGAGCCTGGAGCCAAGCGCTGCAGCCTCTGCCTTCACCTCTGCACGCGGCAGCCCCGTGCCAGAGGCGTCGTCATTATCCTGCTTCCAACCTCCAGGTGCCTTTGCCGTGACAATCCTTCTCTAATTACTTGCAGCGACAGGGCCAGTACGGAGCTGTCAGGGCAGGGGTGATCGTGGAGGTGATTCGAGGGGGAAAAGCCCCTGGGTGGTGGGGCTGGCAGAGCAGAGCATCGGGCCGTGCTGGGAGCACGGGTGCCGCCTGCGCCGCTGGTGCTGGCGTGCTGGGCAGCGCCGGTGCTTTTCTAGCACGTAGGCAGCCAGATTAAACATCAGCTGCAAGTTTCGAGAGCAGCGAAAGAAATACCTGCAGACTTTCTACAAGGCCTGTCAGAGCTGTGAATCCAGCTGCTGTGGTTACGGGCGGTTACGAGGAAGCGTCACCGCTTTCGGCCGATTCAACGCTTTAGATGACACTTGGGCTCTGCTATTTTATGTACCAAAAATGTGGCCGTCATTTGTCAGATCTTTGCCCTTCACTTGTCATTAAAATCCCTCTGTTCTGTTCCCAGCTCTCTCAGTATGTGACCTTGACGTGAATAACTTCTCTTGAGTAGTGTCTTCATTTGTAAAATGGGCTGCTTAATCCTGCTCTACCTGATAATGAACTAAAGACGCCCTTAACATTTACACAGCACCTTGAGAATGGAGGGGAAGTGCTGTTGACAACAAAATCA